GATTGAGCACTGGCCTGCAATCCAGAGGGTTACCAGTTCGATTCCCAGTCAGGGCACACGCCTGGGTTGCAGGCCAGGCTCCCAGAAGGGGGCATGCAAGAGGTAACCACACACTGATGTTTCTCTCCCTCTCTTTTTCCCTCCCTTACCCTCTCTCTAAAAAATAAACAAACAAATAAATAAATAAATAAAATCATTAAAAAAAAGAAACGTCATTTGTCTCAATTTACAGGTAAGAATACCAAAACTCAGACACATATGTACTCACAGTTTCAAAAACTAGTAAGAGGCAAAACTAGAGTATGATTGGAGGTACAAGGTACATGTATTGTTCTGCTATGCAGCTCATCATTTAATAAACAAAGACAATACATCTCAAAGGCAAGTGCTGGCAAACAACATCTGTGATGATGATGATGATGGTGGTGGTGGTGACAGCTAATATACTGAGTGTTTATTAAGTATTCAATACAATTCAAAGCATTCTGCATTAAATTACTTAATCCTCACACTTTGCATTTAATCCTCACAGCAACACCATGAGGTAGAACTATTATTATCCCCATGTTACAGATGAAGAAACTGAGGCATACAGAGGAAATCTAGTTTCAGAGGCCATGCTTTTAACCATTATGCTACTGCTTTTTAAGTAACTATATAGAACAACAATTTCTAAATGGTACCCTGGAACTTAAAAACATTCAACAAGTAGGTAAAAATATCAATAGTTGTCATCCTGTTGATATCTCTGTTATACAAAAGTCTCAGGAGCTTTTAAAAATGTTCTGATGTGGGTGCCCAGTTCAGGAATTAACATTAGACCCTATCACCCCAGGCTTTAAGGGACATGCCCTTGTATGAGATAGGAAGCAGCAAGAGACCCTCACTTGGTCCAATCCATGTGTATAGGTTGGGCAAGCAGTGGAAGAGAAGAGGGTATAGTTCCACTAAAACACACCCAGGAAATACAAAAAACACCCAGGAAACAAGCCAGTTAATTGGATTGATAAGCAATCTCTTTCCTTAGCAAGAGTCACTCAATTCACTGAGAGAACCACACCAACTTAGGGGCTCTATGCTTATCTTATCACTCTGTTTAGCCACACAGTGACTCTGGAACAGATCTCTTCTTACAGGTTGGTTGTTTTTTTCCAGATCCTGCCTCAGGTTTTTTTGTACAGATAGCACAGGACGATGTCAGCCCCACACAGAGAGCAGCCCAGGGGTCACACCAGTTTTTCCATCCTCACACCAGCAGACAGAGGCCTCTATTCTGAAGCCTTCGTGGGCCTGGACACCTTTAGGAACCTCTGCTAGAGCCTGAGCCCAAGCTGCAGCCACAGCCTGAGTCTTGGTTTGAGCCTTGGTCTTCGATTTTGGTCTGCACAGCCTGAGACCTTTGGCAATCCAGGCATAAGCACCTTTTCTAAGCTTGGGGTGAGCGATGTAGGCAAGTAGATTGGGCTTGTGGCTGTCACCCTTTGGGATCCTGGGCTTGACCTCCTTGGGCTTGACAAGGGCCTTGACAGCCTTAGCACATGCATTCATGGCCTTCATGGTGTCGGCTTGCATCTTCTTCAGGCCCTTCTTGTTGTACTTCTTGTTGAAGCACATGTTCTTCAGGAACTTGGGATCTACCCCCTTAAGAGATTTGTATGTTATCGGGTTTCTTGATGCTGTTTCTGTGCCATTTTGGGGACTAGCTATGCGCGGTGTGGTTCCTGGACATGGCCGTATTTGCACCAAAGCCTGCGGCACTTGAGGCACCTGGGACCAGAAGCTACAGCTTTGGTATTTAAAGAAACATTTGTACAGCACACAGCTCAGCTGCTAACTAATACTCTCTTTAGTGACAGCATACACCCAAATCTAATAATTTCAAACCACTTTGCAATTGAATGCAAAGTGTGAAAAAACGCCTCCCTCCCCTGACTTGTTCTTAAATTTAGACTGTCTGGGTATCAAGGGCAAGACTGAATAAAATAAGCAGGTGTGGGTTTGCTTAGAGTGCAGTGCCCACTGCTGCCCTGGCCTGGCCTACCTCTCATGCCATGGAGCGGAGCTGCTCAGTCCTGAAGCCTTCAGATTTCCAAGAGAGTTATATTCTGAAGAATTCCAGATGAAGGTGTTCCCACCCAGTTCCTCTCTTTCAAATCTTTTGAAAGAATGAGGGGGTAAAAAGGCAAAGAGGTGACAGTAGGGAGGACTCTTAAATGCTTGAACAGATAGTAACAGCAAAGTCAGGAGGCAAGGAGAATATCAGCCTATCTTGCTTTTGACCCTTATTGCCCTTTCCATGGACACTCATTTCACTCGGCTGCCCACTTGTCTGGGCAGTATTGGTCTCCCAGGAGCCTTTTGCTTGAATTATCCATTCAGCGGAGAGCCAGTATTGCATCAATTCTAAGTCAAAGTGTTAAAATTAGCAATGGCCTGGGAAGCATTTTGTTTATTTCAAGACTGGCATTTTGCTTGGAGAGACAATCTACAGGGCTCAAAGTGGAATAGTACTGAACTTAAAGTAATCTCCAAGGAAACTGCCTAAGTGCCCATCAGTAAATGAGTGGATAAAACATCTGTGGTACATTTACACAATGGCAAACTATTCAGCTGTTTAAAAGAAAAAAAAGGAAATCTTATCTTTGGCAACAGCATGGATGGACCTGGAGATTATTATGCTAAGTGAAATAAGCCAGTCAGAGAAAGGCAAATACCATAGGATCTCACTTATAAGTGGAAGATAATGAACAAAATAAACTGATGAAAACGGAAACACAGTCATGGACACATGGACAGATTGACAGCTGTCACAGAGGAGAGGGATTGGGGGACTGGATGAAAGAAGGTGAAAGGATTAAGCAAAAACCTTGTGTGTGTGTGCAGATAGCAGTGTGGTGATAGCACAGGGAAAGGAGGGTGAGGGGTAAGTGGAGGTGGGCAAGTGGGGGGTGGAAATGGGGACAGAAGACTTTGCTTGGGGTGGTGGGCACATGATATAGTATGATGATGCTTTGTCGAGTTGTACACTCGAAACCTCTACCCCAATAAATTAAAAAGAAAAAAGAAAAGGGAAAAATAAAGGTGTATTGAGAAAGGGAAAAAAGTAATCTCTAAGAACCTCATATTCCCAAGGAATAAAGTTTGAGACTTGGATCCCACATACGTTGTCTCCCTCTGCCTAAAATTCAGAACAGATATCATGGACATATAAGGAAAACTGCATGCAGATGGCACCTTCTTTGTCCCTATCAGCCCTCACTTGGTTATGGAGCTGCTTAGGTTGTCAGTAAGTACTTATTTGGATTTAGCTAGGTTGATCATGTTTGGCTAACCTAGGGTTGTTTTTACCCCAGGGAATGACGTAGGGAGTGACCATGATATTGCTGGCCAACGTTGTGATGATGCTACCTCTGAATCAAACTCTGGGGAGGCTGGGCTATAGAACACCCCTCTCAGCAGTTGCCCTCTGCCTGTGCTTTTGAAAGCACCACAAGTTCATTGTCATTTCACCTTTAAACTTGCAATCTTAGAAGGAAGTGTTGTTAATGAAACACTGTGGTTAGTTACCTTTAAAGCCAGAGGCAACATTTCCAAAAAAATACAGGCAGTCAAAGGTTGGTAGGTGTTGCACAAAGTTCTTTTGGCTCGTGTTCATTACTTTGAACTGAAAACTTGTTTTACCCAAGGAATAGAGGCTGAGGTATTGTTTTCTTCTGACACACCAGAATTGGCTCCTCCTTCCACCATTTACTGGATGCTCACTAAGTGCAAGAGGAAGACTTACGCAGGGTGAGATCTCCAGCCAACAGAAGCTTACCATCTACAAGAGGTGTGGCAGATGAGCAATGATAACAACTAACATTTCAGGAGTGCTTACTAGATGCAACAAAACACTTTATATGTATTAACTCACATAATCCCCACAACCCTGAGGAAAATACATTATGTACTTTACAAAACAGGAACAAAGAGATCAAGTAATTCGCCTAACCCTACCCAGATTAGTAAATGGCAGAGCCAGAGTGTAAACTAGAGAATAGGTTCTTAATTAGGTCATTTTCTAAAATGGTAATCTTACTAATAAGGTATAGAAACGAAGGAAAGAGAGACAGATTTTGACCAGAGTGAGGGCTAAGGGAACATTCTACTCTGGGTCTTGAAGGTCACGAGGGTAGGGGGTGGGGGGAGACTGGGAGGGAAAGAATATTCAGGAGGAAGTAACAGAAAGACTGAAAAACAAAAAACAATAAAAACACGCAGTCTGGGTACCAGCCAGCTGAGGGCGGCAAGATCTGGTTGAGTGCGTGCGTGGGAGGGAGGAAAGCTGGAGAGGTTAGGCCAGAAGATCCTTGAGGACCAGACATTCTCCGTAAGGAAAGGAGAGCAACAATCTCAAACTGTAAAAGCGGCAGAAAGGAATTCCTGATCTCTCCCTCACTTCTAGTAAGATGACCTCTGAGGCCAGTCCACCCACATTTCCCTCAGGGGCTGAGGACCATGGTCAAGGTCGCCCGCATGGTTTCTGGAGCTGCACGTCCTGGCCCGACGATTAGCTTACTGAGCGCAGACCTGGGAACTTGGCTGCCGGCCCACTACGAGCCAGGAACGTGTGCACTGCCGGGCCTGGCAGAGACAGCACCAGCTCCACAAGTACCGGAAGGCCGGTCCTCAGCAGTTCCCGCCAGCCACCTCTCTCTCCTTAGCCTGGTGGCCCTAAAAAGTCAATGAGGCAGCCTCCGGGACACACTCACCGCTCCGCTCCGCCCCTCAGTACTGGGACGCCGAGGAACAATTGCCTCAGCGGTGGGAGCACGCTCCGCCAATCAACCACAGCCCCCGCCTTCATCTTCGCAGGAGTATATTGCATTGGTCGTATCAGTCCTCCTTGGATTGGCTAGTAACATCTCCTCCTCTTGTTCGTTGTGCGTCAGAAGCTCGCAATTGGTTAGCTGCGTTGCCAAGCTCCGGACGCAGCTCGACGATTGGAGGTCTTGGGCCACCCCGCCGGCTAGGTGAAGGTGAGAGTCTCCTCCAGCCAGCGCCTGTAGACTGAACCGAGTGGCTTAAGAATCACGGAGGGGACTCCTGGCTAACTCCAGCTCTCTCGCCATGGCGCCTCCGTCAGTGTTTGCAGAGGTTCCTCAGGCTCAGCCTGTCCTTGTGTTTAAGCTCACTGCCGACTTCCGAGAGGATCCGGACCCCCGCAAGGTCAACCTGGGAGTTGGAGGTAAAGATGCAGTGCCCAGAAGTGTGCCGCCTGGGGAGCGAAGCGAACCCTAGTCGGGCCGTGGGGGCTGTGGGAGACGCCGAGGCCCAGCTTGGCGCTGGGGTGGTCCGGAGAGGGGGCGAGATCCTCGAGGCTTAGTTCAACCTGCCCTTTTTACAGGGTATAAGAGTCCCTGGAAAAGGGAGGTGTATCCAAGGTCACACAGAACAGGTGTGGCCGCCAGGACACAAACTGTTTTTCCAATCCCCCATTCTATGTTCTTTACACTACATCCTTTATCTTTGTAAGAAATGGGACGACCTGAAATTTTAAGGTGAGGGAGGAAGATAGGAAGACTAATGGGTTTGCAGTCCTGGTTGATGGGAAGTGGATAAAAGAATTAAGCCCTAGGGAGCTCTGTTCTGAGTCGGTATATATTTGAATGACTACTAAATATCAATCAGGTACTTTACCAAGGCTTGTGGGGGAAGGCCGAGGCTTGGTTTTGTTCTCAAGCAGTTTAAAATCAGTAGATGTGAAGTGAGATAATAGAGATCAAAAATGCTTCTGTGACAGGTTAATCCTTCCTGGGGGAACCTGGGAAAAAATGTTCTGGCTCTGAAATGTGGAAGGAATTCGTAGAGATGTGGGGAAAGAGTGGAAAGACTGGACATCAGAAGGTCATTTTCCACGCAACCTTGTCTTTCTTGCTTGCTTGTATTTCTTGGACCTTGGACAGCTCAGAGCTTGGGCCTGTTTTCCTCTTCTGCCTAGAAAAAGATTTGGACTGAAGTGCTTCTGAAATTCCTTTAATTCTAATTTTCTCTGATGAATTTGTTATTGTTATCACCGTCGTTTGGATGTTTAAACTCCACAGACACTTTCTTGACCACGTACAGAGAGCAACCTGGAAGAACATGAGTAGGGTGATATGTTATGCTAGAGAACTGACTTAGAGTAAAGGGACTAAAAATTTTGAAAAGAGAAAATTGAACTCTTTCGTAGCAGAGTGTGGCAAGAAGGGAGGAGGTTCAAAATCAGGCTTCCCACTGTGGCTGTCTGTGTCTGTACATAGGACCTGTTAAAAACTCCACCAAGGGTTATGGGGGAGGAATGAAAAAAAAAAGCCATTAGAAAATGATGGTTTTTTAAAGCTGATAATTTGTTGAAGGTGGGAAATGGGTACATATAATGGGTACCTTATTATCTTATTTTTGCAATCTTGTATATGTTTGAAATTTCCCAAAATAAAGCATTTTTAAATCAATACTACATGGTTTCACCCACAGAGGGAAAGTGATATTTTTAGCAGGCAGCAGAGTGGAAGAATATTGAAAGATTTCCTTAAATTGAATTGGAGTGAGTACCATTCAAGCTCCTATTTAAATCCAGTCCAAAACTTCCAAGTATTTCCTTAGGGCCAGATATATAGTGAAGAACTAATATTGATGTTGATCTAAATGTATCTTTCTAAAACCTCAGATTTCATTGGCTCAGTTACCTTTGGACCATCTTACAGAGTTTTTGTGAGAATTAGTTACATTTGAAGTGCTCAGAACAATTTCTGGCACATATGTAGGAGTTATGTAAGAATTAGCTATTACTATTATTGTTTTGACATTTTGGGGGGTGGGTCACATAAAAAAAAGTTAACTAAAAATTTTCAGCTCCAGAGCTGCAAAGTGAAAAAGTTTCTGACATTGGTTCAGGAATCCAGTGCTCATGCCAGAAGTGATTAGCTCAGGCACATACTCTGTATCTCAGAAGTTCACTTCAACTGTGACAGTTCCTTTGTCATGTTTTCCAGGAACTCCACCTCCTTATTATGAGCAAACGATTTGTGCATTTAATCTCATTAATGGTTACAGTGACTGTAGGGTTGTTACTGTTTTAGAGGTAAGGAAACTAAAGCCCAGACTGATGAAGCAGTTTGCCTCGGGTTATACGGCCATGGGTGGTGTAGAGCTGGGATTCCAGGCTAGGTCTCTCACGCTCCTGGGTCTCTGCCCCCTCCTCTGTTTTGGGTACCTTCAGGTGCTCCAGAGGTAGCCAATACACTATAGTGGGAAGAGCCAGGAGACCTGGATACAGGTCCAGTGATGTGACTGAGGGTGGGTTATGTAACAGATTCGGTTGTTTAAATGAGGAGCCAGGATGTGTATGCCCTTTCTCTAAAATTCTACTCTAAGATTCACTAGCACGTTACCGGAATGTAGAATAGGATAATAATGTTACTGACTGGCCTTTTCCGTTGACTGAGGATTAAATGGATAATTATTGTGAAATATGATATGTAAATGAAAAGTTATATAAATATTATTTTTGATGATCATTGTGACCTATCTTTTTTGTGGATGGCAGGTGCTTGGTAAGGGTCTAAATAGAGTAGAATAAGAGGTCTCTTTCCAACTTTTTTATATCCTAGCTCTATACACATCTCACAGTCAATTTTTTGTGAAGGAAATGTAATTAATCACTGACTTTGGGGAAGATACTCTTTTTCCCTCCAAGTTAAGATAAAGCCCAATGGAGGTTATCCAACTCAAGGTCTAGTGATGTTGGGCATGTTTAAAATAAATTGCAACTTGCAGATCTTTCCTCAGAGAGTTTCTCATTGCTGTAACTATTTGCATAACTTCCTTGTAGTTAGAGCAGAGCATCATATTTCCCACTGTTGTGTATGGTGCTCGCTGATTTGACAGTTCTAGTACTTCTCAGAGGTTCAGACAAATGGCTTTAAAGGCCAGGGAGCCATGGGGTCTAGCTTTGTGCAGCCTGAAGCAATACATTTCTTCATAAACCCCATTCATTTATCACATAAACAGCTTTCTCTCGTTCCAAACTGTGCTTACTTTAATATTTGTTGCTTTTAATCTGGGTTCTGGCATCTTCAGATAAAATTGTTTGGGAGATGTACTATATCAGGTTTTTGAGTACCCCTGGCCCTCCCCCCAGGACCCTAGTTGGAGAAGGGCATTAGAGGCTTACCTGCGTGGGCTTTTGGATGGGGAAGGGTGAGGGAAAGGGGAAATCTTAGGAGGAGGAGAGGATGGTGGTTTCATCATTTAAATCTCTACCTTGTTCCTTTTCTTCTGGAAAGCAAGACTGCTGGACTCACCTGAAACCTGGGTGACTTTTTTGAAAAGGCCTGTACCCAAGGGCACTGGCGCCTGAAGGTGGGAGCATGCTGCTGAAAAGGTCGCTCACACAGTCCTCTGGGATCTGTGTGCTTTGGGCTTTTTCTAGACATCTCTTTCTCTTAAAAAAAAATCACACGGATCCATGAACTTAATAGTTTGACTTAATAGTAGGACTCTTACAGTCCTTATGATCTTGGGCACATTATTTAACTTTTCTGGTCTCAGTTTCTAGATCCCCGAAATAGGGATCACAATATCTATTTTGTGAGTTGGTATGAGAATTGAGAGTAAAAAAAAAAAGGAAAGCATTTAGCACAGTGCCTTGTATGTATTGTACTAAGTATTCAGTAAATCCTGGTTATACAATGGCTTTGGCTACTGTCGATGTCTGTAGTTATGAAGACTTTCTTTCCATCCTGGATTTCTTCTTTGAACACCAGGCCCAGTTTGCTGGACCTATCCTAAAACCACCTGAAATTCAACATGTTTAAAACAACTAATTATTTTCACCTTCCCCTCAATCTTTTCTTTTTTCTTCCCCTTATGTTCTATGTTTTGGTTGCCCCCACCCCCCCCAGCACCAGTCATTACCCAGATGAGAGAGAGACTTTGGAATCATCAGGTGCCCTTTCCTGGGTCCCATGTCTGTTTACTTGGTCACTAACATGTCTTTTCTGCCTCGTAAATCTTTTTGTTTTAATTATCTTGCCTTTTCTTTATCTCTGCTGCTGCTGCCTTAATGAAAGACTTCATTATTTTTCTTTGGGTTTATTGCAGTAATGTCCTGACTTAACTATCTGCCTCTGTCTTCCTCTCTAGTTTATTTTCTATCATGTCACTCAAGTGATCCTATTAAAATGTACAGCTGTCCATGTCACTCCTTTGCTTAAATGCTTTCACTGACTTGTGCAGTGAAGTTCCTTCTAGGAGAGACTCCAAGACTCTTGGAGCCACTCCTTTCTATTTCTCCGTGGATCTTACGTGTCAGCCGTGAACATGCAGAGCCTCCAAAACCTCATCTCTTCAAGCCTTCAGGACCTTGCACAGGTGTTCCCTCTGCCTGGAATGCTCTTCTTTCCTTGTTTCTTTTTTCCTTTCTCTTTTTAAAAAGATTGTATTATTTTTAGGGAGAGGGGAAGGGAGGGAGAAAGAGAAGGAGAGAAACATCAATGTGTGGCTGCCTCTTGCACACCCCCAGCTGGGGAATGAGCCCAAAACCCAGGCATGTGCCCCAACTGGGAACCGAACCAGCAACCCTTTGGTTTGGAGGCCAGTGCCCAGTCCACTGAGCCACACCAGCCAGGGCCCTTTTTTCTTTTAAATCCTTCCACACTTACTTCATTGTCTGTAAAATCTTCCCTGATCCCTCACAGGAGAATTAAGGACTCTCTGCTCTATGTTTCCTGGCAGGCATTGTCTTATCTTATCTTGCCCATCTCTCTATTGCTACTTCTAGCCAGTGCCCGGTGCATGGTAGATTTAGTAAGTCTTTGTGAAATGAATGAGTGAATGAAAAAAATGAATGAGAAGCTCATGGGTCTAGAAACAAATAAAATCCCTCTGGAGAGCAGGGATAGTGTTGGTAATGCTGGACCTCGTTGCTCCAATCACCCAAGAGGAATCTGCCTCTACCTCATTAGGCCAGTGAGGCGAGGCATTGGGAATACATCTGGAACTGAAACTGGGAAGTGCAGCAGGAAGGGGGAGGTATAAATCGGCCAATTTATCTTTTGTCACAGTGGAGACACACTACCTCCTTGACACAAGCATTTCTTAGAGTTGCACAGAGTGTACAGTACTGGTAAGAACAGTAATACTGTGGCTTTTTCTTTGTCTTTCATATTTTATTCCGTTAGAATACATGATTTACAAATGACATTATCATAAATATAATATATATAGCACAATTACATATATAACCTCCAAACACAGATGTAAGGCATAACAGAACTGGTTTTTCTATTAATTCCCAAGCTCTTGTATATCTAAATAGTATTCTTTCTGGGTAGTGCAGTCCATATATACTGCTATTGCTCAAAGATGTCTGAAAACTCCATGGCCTAGATTCACACGGGAGATCATGTCTTTATAATTCTGCATTAATATTATCCAGTTTATTCATCCACCTGCTTTGCTAGACATGATAGAAGTACAATTGCCAAAAATTAAATTTACCTCCAGTGAAGTGAAGATTTGGCACCATTGAGGATATTCAAAATAATGAGATGTCACCTCTAAAAACAGTTGCAAAAGGGACAACTCTTACTTAGAAGTATGTAGTTATTTTTATATCTCTTTAAAAAACCAGACCAGATCCCACCTGATAAGGTAGGATAAACTTTTTGAACTTGTTGAGAGGGAGTTAGTTTGGTGAGCCGGAGGGTATAATATAATGTATGACAGCAGTGGAGTTAGGGCCATCTACACAGAGACTGTTGGTTGTTTAATGGCTGTGTCAGTCCACAGCACTGTCCACATTTTTATTACTAGCTTGATATGCTTGTCATATTTGCAGATGACACATTCCTGTAGGGTAGAGTTAGTTGATAGAAAACAGATGCAAAACCAAAATGATCTTATAAAAAGTCTCATTAGTTGTATAATGTGATTTGGTAATTTTGCATCTAGAAATTTTTTTCTAAAGAAACATTCATGAATATGTGTAAAGATATAAGAACATTCACCACAATGTTTATAACAACAAATAACCTAAAGCAACACAAATAGTTAATAAATTATACATATAAAGTAGTATTGTCTAGCCACTAAAATTATGTTGTAAATAGCTCATATATATATATATATATATATATATCTGAAAAAATGCCCAATTGCATCTATAATAGGAGAAATGCAAATTAAAACTACTCTGAGATTCTGTTTGCAGCTTCGTATTGGCAAAAAATCACTCGGTGAGGCTGTGGGGAAGCAGTCTTATACGTTGATGATAGGAACGTAAACTGATAAAATCCTGATGGAGGCCAGTTTAGATTTCTGTCAAAACCCACAAATACACATACTTCTCAGCTCACTCTTCCATTTTCAACCGTGCATCTAACAGATATATTTGCATGCATGTAAGATGATGTGTGTACAAGGTTGTTCACTGAAGTTTTATAATAGCCAAAAATTGGAAACAAATGTTCATCAACAAGAGACTGGCAAAATAAATTCTGCTACATTCAACAGTTTTGCAGCTGTAAGAAAGAACAAAGACATTGTATGCACAGATAGAAAAAGATCTTCAAGTGGAAAAAGCAAGGAACCAGTGTGTAATGTGCTCTATGTTACCTTTTGTGTACAAGGCAGGGGGTCATAGCTGTATTTGCTTGTGTGTGCATAGGGAACTTCTGGAAGGCTACAAAAAGAAATTAGGAACAGTTGTTATTTATGGAGGGAGAGTACCTGGAACCAGGTAGATGGATGATAAAGATGGGATGAGGACATGTGAATATGTCACCTATTAGAAGAACAGTTAATGGTGATTAAAGATACTCATATATTTAATAAGTGAGAAAAAGCATTTTGAAAATTCTTTATACAATCTGATCCATATTTTATAAAAGAATTTACTCATGTAAAATAAAACTTAGAAGGTTGTACACCAAAATTTTCATACTCCTTATCTCTAAGTGCTGGGATTACATGTTAATCATGTTTACCTTTCTGGGCTCTTCTAAACTTTCTACAATCAACATGTGTTTTTCAGTAAACAATATCAACCACCCTACAAAGTGACTTTTTAAAAAAGGGGATTAATATTGGGCAGAAATCAACCAGATAAAACTTAATCAGCTCTGTGGCTGCCACAGCTCCCATGAAAAAGCTTGTGGCAAAGAGGGGCAAAAAAAAAAGAAGCAGGTTCTGAAGTTCACCCTCAATTACACCCACTCAGTAGAAGGTGGAATCATGGATGCTGCCAATTTTGAACTGTTCCTTTATGAGAGAAAAAGTGAACGGAAAAGCTGGGAACCTTGGGGTGGAGGGATTGTGACCACTGAAAGAAGCAAGAGTAAGATCACTGTAACTTCTGAGGTGCCTTTTTCCAAAAGGTATTTGAAATATCTCACCAAAAAATATTTGAAGAAGAATAGTATCCACGATTCGTTGCGTGTAGTTGCTAACAGCAAAGAGAGTTAAGAATTGCCACTACTTCCAGATAAAACAGGATGAAGGAGAGGCGGAAGATGAGGACTAAAACTCATTTATCTGATACATTTTGTACAAGCTCTTGAATAAAACGTAGGAACCAAAAAAAAAAAAAAGAACCCCAAAAAACCTTAATCAGAACTACTCTAAAATTTTCAGCGTCAAAGTCACTTGCAAAAGTATAGGCATTTGGATACCTAAACATTTCAGCAGAGGGCAAATGGCCTCAGTCAGGAATTCTATTTGGAGAAATCACTGGCTTGGGCGCGAGCCAGAGCAGCTGCCCTCTAAAGCTATAATCCCAAAATAATCATAGGGTAGTATAGGGAAGAAAGAACGGTGATGGGATAACCCAAAGTGGACAAAAAATACTTTTAGTGTAGAAGTGCTTAGAAATTTGCCTGTAAGCAAGGTTAAATGTTATGAAATAGATGCATTTCGATCAATAAAAGTGTGAAGCACAGGAAGTGGGAGGAACTGTTAAGATGGTAAACACGGAATGATGTCAGAACACAGAGAGGACACAGGTGCGTTTCAGTGGGTTGTTGGTGATTGTGTAACCTGTTGGAATCTAGTCACAGGGTGTTTGTCACTTGTCCCATTTGTGTTCTCATAGGACAAGAAGAAGGTGTGGGCCTCCTCCCAAACCCCCACCCCCTTCTCCATGTTTATGTTTGAAGGTGCTGCATTCATCTGAAGTATCATAGCCCTTTTCTGGAAATCTCTTGGGAAGATGCAGAAGGAAGCAGGTTACTGAGCCAATGGCCATAGAGAGAGACCTCAGTGCACTAGCAGTACTGACACAGCATTTGTTAGATGTACTGTTTTAGTTTGCTGAGTGCTGTCACATGCGTTCTCTCACTCGATCAGGCTCTGATGTCCCAGTTTTGTTTTAGCATTCTAGTTTTTGGTGGTCATGTATTTTAGAACTGTAAGTTTCATAAGGATGGGAACCATGTCTGTCCTGCTTGCCCAGCACCAAGTTCTAGTGCCTGGTCCAAAGCGGGTAGGCAGCAAGTGACTGAACTTAAGTTTTCCTCACAGGTCTGTTTTCATCAGATGGTGGTAGAACTTTTCCTGTTCACAGTTCCAAACTCTTATTTGGACGAAGTCTCAGACAATTCGCTTATACAACTCTTTCCTCCTTTGCAGCTTATCGCACAGATGACTCCCAGCCCTGGGTTTTGCCTGTCGTGAGGAAGGTGGAACAGAAGATAGCTAACGACAGTAGCCTAAACCACGAGTATTTGCCGATCCTGGGCCTACCGGAGTTCCGGGCTCTCGCTTCCCGCCTTGTCCTTGGGGAGAGCAGCCCAGCTCTCCAGGAGAAGCGGGTGAGTTTTGGATGAGGTTGTATATTTTCTCTTCAGCAACAGTGAAGATAATAAAAGGGTGAAAATTCAAGTTGTAAAATGTTAGGTGTTATGTCTATTGAACTGTCAGTGAATAAGAGTTTAAGTAGTGTGACCTCAGGAATCTGACAGTGCAAATAACGTGCTTATGTGTAAAGCACAGCCTCTTCATTTGTTCACTTTTGCGCAACTGATGATCAGATTTCAGCTGCTGAATTTGAAGCAGCCAGAGGAAATGCCAAGACAAGGGAACTTAAGGGAATGATGGAGAGACCAGGGTCTGGATTCAGCTCTGCCACTCTTTTTGACCGTGGGAAATCAGTTATCTTTCCAGCCCCTGTGTCTCATCTACATGCTCCTGAAGGACTAGTTTGTGGTTCATGGTTTCATAAGGAGCATTTGCATAAGGGATCACTCAAGGGGCCTCCAAATTCCCCTGAGATTTTATGCAGAATTCTGTGTGTTCGCGTATTTCTGAGGAGAAGATTCATAACTTTTATCAGATTTTCTAAAGGAGTCTGTGACCCCCAAAATTCAAGAGCCACTAGTCTATATGTTCTCTGAAGTTCCTGTCAGTTCTAATAATCTTTCATTCTTCCAGCCTTGATCTCAGTGTCTCATTCAGGTGCTTTCTGGCGTATAGTCTCTCTATAACTGGTGACACATGGAAGACACACTTGGAAGCAGCCAGTGAGAGAGGCTCTATGTGGCAGAAAGTGGTATTGTGGAGATTTTTAGTGTCGTAAGGATTCAGAGTAGAGGGAGGCTGGTAATGGCCAAAGATGAGACTTCAGCTAAACCGTGGGGAAAGAGGCCAGCACACAGGTTTTCAATGCTGACTGCACATTCGTATCACCTGGGGAATTAAAAAAAAAAACATACTGGCCCTGGCTGGCGTAGCTCAGTGAGTGGATTGAGTGTGGGCTGCGAACCAAAGTGTCGCAGATTCAATTCCCAGCCAGGGTACATGCCTGGGTTGCAGGCCATAACCCCCAGCAACCGCACATTGATGTTTCTTTCTCTCTCTCTATCTCCCTCCCTTCCCTCTCTAAAAATAAATAAATAAATGAAATATTAAAACAAAACAAAACAAAACATACTGATGGCCAGACCCCATACCAGACCAGCTAAATCACAATCTTGGAGGGTACCACCATCCTCCCCTTTCATGACCTTTCCCTGTCAATCCCCTTCCCTTCATGGGCATTTTTTTTATCCTTATCTAAGGACGTGCTTATTGATTTTAGAGAAAGGGGAAGGGAAGGAGAGAGATGGGGAGAGGAACATCGATGCAAGAGAGAAAAAACATTGGTTACTTCTAGTAGGCACCCAGACTGGAAATGAACCTGCAACCTATGCATGTGTCCTGACCAGGAATTGAGCCTATGACCTTTTGGTTTATGGGACGATGCTCTAACCAACAGCCACACTGGCAAGGTCATGGGCACGGGCAATTTTTAATAGCCTTCCAGGTGGTTCCAAAGTATATATAGTAGGGTTGGGAACCACAGGGTACAGAGGAAAAGTACCCAATATTTGTCTGAATTGGTGGGAGTCCAGGGCCAGAATAAGAGGTAAGCAGGCCTAGGTATAAAGAGACCTATCTGATTGGAGCTGGGAGCACGATGGATAGATCAGGCAGGCTGGTTTTGGCAGCCAGGGCAGGGAAGCCACCTGAAGGTTTGAGTAGAGGAGTTACCCAATACAGGTGTTTGAAGAAGATAAACTTGGCTGGATGATTAGGAAGGGGAAGAACTCAGGTTTTTGGAATAGTCTGGTTAGGTATTATGCAATTTAAGCCAGCGGCCTTTATTGCTTCTCTGGGCCGTTGTGTAGTGCGGCCCTCATGTGTGGAAGAGATCACATCTTGGAGTCGCCTGATTTGCCCCCACATGCTATTACCCATATGTCCTGATAGACAGGACAGCGGGGTCAAGTGAAGGTTACACAGGAGCACATCCTTATGTGTATCAGGAGGCAGGGAGGCTCAGTGAAGGTCTTGGAACTCAGGTCAGTAATTAGGCAAGTAATTGACTTAATTAGGCTTTTGTCTGGATTGACATGGGAGACTGATACTTGCTTCAAGGAACTGAAGGGGAATACGGTAGAAATGGCAGAGTTTAGAGATCGTGGGCCACACTGGGAAATCGCTCTGACAATCCACTGTTTCCACAGCGGGAGAGGAGTGTCCTGATGAACTTGAAAGTGGGGAACTTGGGCAACTGGGAGTTATTTTCTATAGTTGGCATTCTGTTGACAAATGAAAATGGCGTTTCTGTGTTGGGGAACTTCTTCCTGTAAGACTGTGCATTCTTATACATTTATTAACTGTGTTGGCTGATTCTTGTTCCTTTGCCCAATGCCCCCCATTTTTGACCACTTAATGCTGTAAGACTTGGGGCTGTTGCTTGTGGAATGTAGTCTTTCCTCTTAGTCTTGTTCATCCTTTGTTGTTTTTGGTCATAGAACAAATTTAAATGGCAGTCTGTAAATATTTGAAGATTTTTGCAGGGAGGAATGGCACTGTATGGCCCTAGGAATCAGTTATGCTGAGCTCAGCCTTTGCTCTGTCCGAAGATGTCTTCACCACCCCCAGGCTCCTGTGTCAGGTCGGCCCACCACCACCTCATTTGGATTCTTTTACTGGCCTCCTGCCTTTAGTCTCTTCTCTATTCTAGTATATTCTGCATAGTGCAGCTAGAATTATCTTCCGTAGCAAAACAACCCCCAAAAGCTAATCATGTCAGCTGCCCCTCATGCACAATACTTCTCCATTATTTACAAGGTAAAATCCAGACTTTGAACTGTGCGAGCAGCGTATTTATAGCTGTTCATTCATCCTGTTTTTCCAGTTATTCACACCTTTCTCCCCTTTCCCCCATGGAGTCCTGTCATTCAAGAGCCTTTGTCTCAGGTGTTCTCTGCTGTGAATGCCTCCCTCACCTCTTGAAAGCCCCAGTTGCCACCTCCAGGCTATTCAAGGCCTGCGTAAGTCTTACCTCCATGCTGAATCCTTCGCTCTTCCAGGCAGAGCTGGTTGTTGGAGTCTGAGTTATCGTAGGACTTTGTTCACAGCTTGGGAATGACAGTACTTACTGTGCTTACTAATTTTATGAGTATAATTAGTTGTATAATTTTAATTTTATAAGCCTGTTTCTCGCAGTAGGCCATAGCTTCCCTGGGGCAGGGAGGCTGGCTTGCTTATTTATCTTGCAAATCTTCACCAATCTTTATCTCCTAGGCTGGCCCCTCAGAAATTTTCAGATGTTTGAATTTACTCATTTATGCAGTCAGCAGATGAGTGCTCGCCGCCAGGGGTAGGCACTGGTCCAGGTGCTGGAGTACAGCAGTGATGCAAACACCCCACACCCCCTGTCCTGGCTTACAGTTTTGTGGAGAGAAACCGACTATAAACATAATAAATAAGAACATGATGTCATGCATTAAAAGATGATAAATGCTATAAAAATAGAGCGGGGGAAGCATAGTTAGAGTCTGAGGGTAGGAGTGAGGGTGGATACAGTTTTAACTAGGGTGGTCATGGTGGAATAGAAATGACATTTGGGCAAAGACTTGAGGAGAGGAGGCATAAATGAAAGAAGGAAGGAACCCGAAAGCAGTAGTTGTCTTCCCGTAGATTTTTCTTCTCAGGGTTTAATATGACCAGGTCTGACAACCACTTGAGAAGACCTGTTTTTTAGACTCCTCACTGCCTTTTACTGCTTTTCCATCTTCAGACCAGAGGATCCAGACAAAAATGTCCATTTTTCATCTCCTGGGTGATACTGTTTCAGCGTCTGGAGTTACTGAGCCCCTATAGGTAGGAGGGCATGTGGGTCCATGGTGACACTCCAGGCGACTGGGAGCCGTGGGGCTTTGGCTGTGGCGCTCATCCTCTCATCACTGTCTCTCTCTCCATCTGGTTGTGCCCATGTTTATTTAGTCCCATGAGCCAGATACTGTGTGAATTGCTGTGGTCACCCAGATCAGTGCAATATGACCTTGACTGCAAGCAGTCTTCTACTTGGCCGTCCTGCCCCTCACAGTGAAGTTACCACATCAGTAGTTTGTGATCCAGACAGATGTTCTAGAGTCCAGCAGGGATTTCTTGAGTAGTGTGACTAAGTCCAAAGTACGGATGATCTACTGACATTGCCTTGCAATAAGGCTTACTGGATTTCTCTTCGTTCTGGATCTCCCTGTTTAGCCACTCAGCTAGTTGCCTGGCTTCTTGAGAAGTATGTGCTTATTTCCTTTGATATTATGATTTTCCTTCATCCCAAATACAGAACTTTCTTGGGTCCTAGAGCAATTTGCCAAAAATCAGTTGACAGAGTGACCAAATTGGTACATTATTGATCCACTGTAAATTTGTTTCTGTTAATGCAGATGTAGTTTAGAGCAATTTGTATATCACTGAAGGCATCCATTGTTTTTATATATATAATATATAAATATATAAATATAAAAAATATATAAAATATATATATAAATATATATATTTTTTAGGGAGTGCTAGGTTCTTGAGAATTTGATTTATTAAGTGTTATATACATCATGAATATCAAGGATCAGTTCATGTTAGTGAAGTGGGTGTATTTCCTCCAAACACATTTTCAATCATCTGTTGACTTTCTGACTTCTTTTAGTTAATGAATTTGCTTTCTGGACTGGGAGAGGAAGGGTGGAATTAAAAGCTGAGCATAGGAAAGAAAAATCATTCCTGGAAACATTTTTTCTGACAGCCACACACACCTGTTGCCTATCAATGATAACTTAAAACCTTGTTTTAGGGAGACCTTGCTCATTTGTATAGGAACTGTCAACATTCCAGAATTACTTACATGTTTGAAATGTGAAATAATGAATAAAGTTGACATTCAGCTTAGCTAGGTACAAATCCATGAAAAATAAACACACATGTAGGTTACATTACCTTGATAGAGATTTGCATTAAAGAATCCAGATAGATCACAATTGTGGAAGCAAAACCTTTTACATAATGGGAAGGGACCCATGCTCGGTCAGGATCACTGAAGAACAGGGAAGTTAGTCTGCTGGAGCTGACCGGCACCGACAGTTTCGCTGAGTCCACTGCTCCTGCTCTCTGCAGTGTACAGCTGTGCTCAGTTTCGCATTTCCTTGAATCTCAACTCTGCTTCTGTTTCTTCTTTCAGTATCCTTTCACAGATGTGAACATCTCTGAATATAAATAGGACAGTGAGGAATGATAGTGGTGATAGGTATCATTGCCTTGCTTATGGCTTAAAGGAGCTTTCTGCTAATGATTCATTGTTCATCGTGAGGCTTACTTATTCATTATGACTGAATGGATGATTTTTCCAGTTATTTTCAGGAGGTATGCATTGTTTTCTGTCTTCCTGAGCATTTATATCAGAAATGGCTATGTTGTCTTTCTCATCTGTTTATGATGATCATTCAGATTTTTTTCTGTTTAGCAGCATGCAAAATTTTATAATGTATTTCTTAATAATCATGTATTCATGGGATGATTCTCACTTGATCAGAGGGCTAGTTTTAAATGTACTTCTGAATTCTTACTGTTCATTAATGTTTATTTGGAAAGTTAGTATTCATGAAAGAGCTAAGCCTCTCCCTTTTTTCTATTTCTGTTTTTGTCATCTTTAAGCATCAGTGTTATGTTAGTTTTTTAAAAAAGATTTTGGAGGCTTTTCTTCTTTACCTAGGATTTCATTTTTACCTTTTTATTGTGGAAAATTTCAAATACATACAAAATGGACAAAACAGTGTGATGAGCAAACCTCCACGCACCCACTGTCTACCTTCAGCAATGATCTGTGTTTGGTCAGTCTTATATACCTCCCACCCCCCTGCCGAAGCTGAATTATTTTACAGCAGATCCCAGACATCATAATATATTTTGAAGATTATTTTAAAATTTTACAAATAATATATGAATACATTCTCCTTATTTTTAAAAGACAATTCACAGGTTGGGCCACAGTCCCTTGGACCACTATTGCCATAGCCTAGGCCCCTCCCAGAGGTTGCCACTGTTACTAGATTGGTGCGTGCCCTTCCCTTTATTTAGACAGGCTTTCTCGTGTGTTTTTTTCCTTTCTCCTTAACCCTGTAAACATAGTAAGCAGCATGTAATTTATGCTATTTCTGTACTAACTAAGTTATGCTGAAACCTTGTTATCATTGTGAAAGAGCAGAATCAAAGACACGGAGGCAGAGCAGCATGAGCACAGCATAGGGACTGCAGGGAGAAGGCCTGGACGGATGTCCAGCTCTGCCACTCCCCTGCTGTGTAACCCACTTCTCTGAATCAGTTTCCTCACGTAAATTGTGGCTATAGGACTTACTTAATGGGACTGTATGAGGACCAAATGGGAATGTATGTGAAGGTATTTTGTAAATGGTAACATTTAGGATTTTTATTATTCTTCATGTGAGGTCATATTAAGATGAGATGAAGCTCAGGGAGAAGAAAGTAGTTTTCACAATGTCACCTTTGTTTTGTTAGAACATATTTCTAAGGATTAATAAACCTGCATTCTAGAAGGACAAAGGAGTATTCCAAGTGGTGTCAGTAGCAAGCGGCACACATTATTTTCCAGGCTTCTGCGGGGAAGGCAGTTTTGATCTTGGGTTAGGTGTCTTCTAGGGCACACTCAAATGTGCCTAGGTGTGTCCTCTACCTCTGTACTCAGAAGGGAAGCTCCCCTAAGAGTCAGACTTCAGACTTCCTGGGGTGAAGAGCCCTGCTGCTCGCTTAGCTGGTAACTTTGAGCAAGGAGCCGCACTCCTCGGCCTCAGTTTCCTCATTTGTAAACATGGGCAAATAACAGTATCTTCTCCATGTAGCTGTGAGGTTGGATGGGATAGCACCTTTAAAGAGCTTAGCACAGAGAAGACACACAGTGAGTGCTCATCATTGCCATATTTTTTACAATATTTTCTGACCTCACTATCAGCAACCAGTGACCCTGCTTCTTTTATTTCAGGTGGGAGGTGTGCAGTGTTTGGGGGGAACAGGTGCAATTCGAATTGGAGCCGATTTCTTATCACGATGGTACAACGGAACAAACAACAAGGACACACCTGTCTATGTATCCTCACCAACCTGGGGTGAGTTCTTTAGGAGTATCATACTTTAGGTGTATCGGGAGGAGAAACAGAAAGGCCAGAGGCAAGTATCCTCATGCCTCTCACTGCTGATCTAGAAATGTAACCCAGCCCGGGATCAGCTGACATTTGGGAATGGCTTGAGCAGTGGATTATGGCAGGATGTGAGTAAGAGGTTGCTCAGATTCATATTAGGAGTACTTCCCCCTGAGAGTCTTGGTAGACTTGTGTTTTCGAGTATGTTGAAACTTCCCAGAGGAGGCATAAAATGTAGGTACAGGCAGTTCCTGTATCTACATTGGGATATACGTTTATATGAATAAGACTGGTTAAACTTGTTTTTGGTTACAATCATTTTTTCAGATCTTAACCCCTCACCTCACTGTTGCGCAGTGGATATTACAGGGCCCTGCACGTTGACTTACGTCCTTTCCAGTTACACCTCCTTGCGTTTGTAAAAGCGTTTCATGTTTTACCCTTTTGCTTGCAGAGAATCATAATGCTGTGTTTACTGCTGCTGGATTTAAAGATATTCGGTCCTATCACTATTGGGATGCAACGAAGAGAGGACTTGACCTCCAGGGTTTCCTCAATGATCTGGAGGTGGGTCATGAGATGAAAAAGTAAACAGAATCCAATCGTGTCGGGGGAGCAGGGAAAACGTTTTGGGTCAGTTAATAAGTGAGAGAGTCTGAGAGATCCTATCCAAACCAGACCATGATTTCTGAAGTGGCACATAAGGATGGAATATGTCGCCCTTGACCAGTGTGCCGCTGACTCTGTTTCTCCACACTCTGGCTAGTGTCAGAGCTGACATGGCTTCCTTCTCCTCAGAATGCTCCTGAGTTTTCCATCTTTGTCCTCCATGCCTGTGCACACAACCCGACTGGCACTGACCCAACCCCAGAGCAGTGGAAGCAGATCGCCTCCGTCATGAAGGTAACTGCCTTTTTAGGGCATCTCTTAAAAAGTGCAGTGTATTAACATTTAATGTATTCAAAAGCCATACCTATTTACTGTAGACTTTGTAAATGGAGGAAAGTCTGAAAAAGAAAATACATATTAACTGTAAATCCTATTACCCAAAGAAAGCTACTGTTAATATTTTGGTGCAGGTGTAAGTTGTTGTTGTTGTTTTTTTAAGTGTAGTTATACATATAAGTGTATCTATTTTACAAAGATGGGATCATTTTGTCTGTACTGTTTTATAACATACCCTGTCCTTCATTTGAGCTCCTGCGCACGTCACTAACTGTTTTGTAGCGTTGTTTTCTGTGCAAGGTGGTATCACATCAGGGACTGACTAAATCAGCTGATGGACATTGAGAGCTCAGGTTTCTTGCTCTTATGAACAGTTATGTAAACTCCATTGTATTATTTCTTCAGGATAACTTTCTAGACTGGAATTTCTACCTTAAAGTATATGTATGTTCTTCTTAATGTGCTTAAAGAGTACTTACTGAGAAACAGTTATGTGATCAGCAGCATGGCGATACATTAGGGAACAAAGCAGGGATGGTCCCTGCCCTCAGAGAACATACTCATCCTGTTTGGGGAGACAGCTGAGTACTGTGAGACAGCTGTGTTCGCTGGGTGCAGGGAGACACATAGCCCTGACTTTAGGAAGAGTGTGTGTGGTCGGGGGTGGGGGGCAGAGTGTGTCGGGAGGGATGGTAGTGGCAGAAGTCTTCCTGGAAGAAGTGGTTGCCATGTTGAGACTTCAAGGACGAGGACAGGCTGGGACTGGAGGGGGCAGGAGTGTTCCCTACAAGGGGAAGAGCATGGCCAAAGCCCAAGATGCAGAGATCATGTCCCATTTAAGGAAGCGAAAATGATTCCTGGCTTAGATTCCTAGAGAGTTGGGGGAGTGTGAGTCATGAAGCTGGAGAGGTGAATGGAGACCAGAGCCTGGGCTGAGGCACTGGACTTCATTCTGAGGGCATTGGGGAGCCACTGAAAATCTTTGATGTCATGGAGTGACATGATCGGATGTACATTGTCTTCAAGTCACCTTGGCTGCATGGCAGGGAGTGGATCAGAGGGAGTCAAGATTAGACAGGCTGGGAGAGCAGGTAGGAGGCAGTTGCTCTAACCCAGGTAGGAGGTGATAGGGACCTGAGCTAAGTAGGTGGCAGTGACAGCCATGAAAGGATTCTAGAGCTCTCAGGAGACAGGAGTGCTAGGACTTGGAGGACGAGTGGATGTGAGGGATGAGCTGCAGAGGCAGGAGTGGAGGATGCACCCTGGCCTCTGGCTTCAATGGTTTGGGGCAAAGGGGTGGTGTCCACATAGAGAGTGAGCCCAGTAGCAGGATCAAGTTCAGCGTGGGGAGCCATATGAGGAGACTGGAGTAATTAGAATAGAAAGCATGCAGTCTTCTTGGTCTTTCAGTATGCAGTAGAATAGCCTGAGGTTGTCAAGAGGCCCTGGGGATACCAAGCTGACATTTGACTAAGCTTATCACACCAGGAATTCACGGGAAAGAATCCACCAACATAGGACAGACACTACCTCCATGCCTCAAAAAATAGGCCCTGGGACAATATATGAATACTTCAAAAATACAAGCTTTACTGAAATTGTTAGATTTGGGGATTGGTATTTAGTTGAACAGAGAAACAGATTTAAAGTGGTGGTTGGATGCAGAAAAAAGAGAAATAGGTGAAGTAGAGAGTGTTAGAAATTCTTTCTAGGCACCAGTTGGGGAAGGAAAGCCTGCGTCTGAGGTTGGTTCCAGAAGGATTTCCCTCCCTGACTCACTTTCCTTCCTTGCAGCGCCGGTTTCTGTTTCCCTTCTTTGACTCGGCCTATCAGGGCTTCGCGTCTGGAGACCTAGAGAAAGACGCCTGGGCCATTCGCTATTTTGTGTCTGAAGGATTCGAGCTCTTCTGTGCCCAGTCCTTCTCCAAGAACTTTGGGCTCTACAGTGAGTCTTCTCCTGAGTTACAGACCTGTCCAGCCCACCCTGCCCTCATCGGGGCCCCCCAGGCTGATTCTTATCCCTGTTTCTAGATGAGCGTGTGGGGAATCTGACTGTGGTTGCAAAAGAACCTGATAGCGTCCAGCGGGTCCTTTCCCAGATGGAGAAGATTGTGCGAATTACTTGGTCTAATCCACCTGCTCAGGGAGCGAGGATTGTGGCCACTACCCTCTCTGACCCTGCGCTCTTTAAGGAATGGTAAGGGGCTCACAGCCTGATGGGCAAGGGGTGGGAGTGCAGAACAGTAGTTGTCCCATTACATTCAGCTGTCTGTCCCTTTTATCTTGGCAGAGGCAGGACACAATTACTTTAGCCTTTTTGAGTCTCAGATATTTCTATAAAATAGGGATGCCACCTACTCTCACATGTGTAATACAACACATGTGCCTAACAAGCACCGGGGATCTAGGAAGAAACACTAGATGAATGCCAGTTTCCCCCATTCTCCCACTAAGGCTCATCCCCTTAAAGTTGGGAAACAGGTAGGAATTCCAGCTTCAACTTACTGTGGCTCCTCAGTAACTTGAATTTGGGGCTCCTCATTCTCCTTCTTCCTTTTTTTTTTAGATTTTTAAAAAATATTTTATTTATTTATTTTTAGAGAGAGGAGAAGGGAGGGAGAAAGAGGGAGAGAAACATCAATGTGTGGTTGCGTCTTGTGTGTCCCCAACTGGGGACCCAGCCCACAACCCAGGCATATGCCCTAACTGGGAATTGAACCTTCGGCCCTTTGGTTCATAGGCCAGTGCTCAATCCACTGAGCCACACCAGCCAGGGCTTGGGGCTCCTGCTTCTTAACAACTTTACATATATTTTATCTTATTTTGAAATAGAGTAATTTTTACATAGTAGCTGTGTCTGAAATCTTTACTTAATTAGGCCTGATAAAATATATCATTCTGTCTAGATCAGCACCTAGGTGAAGTCTAAGTTAAAACATAGGAGGTGTTACAGCTAGTATGCCTGAGACCAGCATTGAATTCCAACAGTGAATATAGTCCTTTCCTTCGGCCTGGTGATGCTCTCTCTCTGGCCTGCTTATCCAGGCATCCAGGCATCCATGTACCATAGCAGGCAGGCCTGATCCCACTTGCAGCTTATAGATTAAATTGTTGTTTTTAAACCTCCACGTTTTCATGTACAGTCTCTCCTATCTGTATTGGTATTTATGTTACTGTCCACTCAGGACCGGCAATGTAAAGACAATGGCTGACCGGATTCTGACCATGAGATCTGAACTCAAGGCACGATTAGAAGCTCTTAAGACCCCTGGAACCTGGAACCACATCACTGATCAAATTGGAATGTTCAGCTTCACCGGGTTGAACCGTAAGTGGCCCCCACCCCTATGAATGCTCACTATTAGCTATTAGACACAGTGCTCCTTCCTCTCAGTCAGTGTCCTGGGGCTCGGATCCATTGGTTGCTGCCGAATTGGCTTGGCCCAGTACAAGTTAGGTTTCTCAGTGTGCCCCATCCACCTCCTGAACTTCTTGGGTCGCAGAAGAGTATTGCTGTGGTCTGTCCTGCCTCCCGTAACTCAGATATTTTCATTTTTGTAGGCAGGGAAGTGGCTTAGAGCCAGCTGGTCAGTAACAGGGTTTATACGTTGGAGCCTCGATTTATGAAAGTTCTCTCATAAATTCTCGGGTACTTTTTAACCCTTCCTTAATTCTAAGTATGAATATTATATATGATTATTCAGGTACCTAATTTCTTAACAGGTCTTTGCTGGTCTCTAGGCATTGCCCTCAAAAAAAATTTTCAAAGTTCTTTCCATTTCATAAATAAGAAATTGGTAGTTGGAATTAAATGACGATTGAATGTCCAGTGGGCAGCCATGTATGATCTTGGTCAGCTGTCAGTAAGGCCTATTGCAACTGCTTGTCCTTCCCAACGATAGAGGGCTCATTCACTTAATAAGTTATTCCCAAGCACCTACTGGCTTCCCAAGCTCTAGTGTCATGGTGCGGTGTGCTTACCTTGGGTAGTAAGTGGGATGTCAGAGGTGCTCGGAAGTATTATAAACCAGGGCCATCAGAATGCTTGTTTGAAATGAGCTCAGAAAAAGCCAAAGGAAATAAATATAAAAACAAGAAAGGTAGTAAAGATAGTATGCTGAAGACCCCTTGAAATACTTTGGGGCAAAGTGAGAGGCTACCCAGGAAAGTAAAGGGACAGCTTAGTTAGCCACAGTTGTCCTCATGGTTCTGGAATGGGGGATTAGTGCACATGAATGCATAAAATAATCCTTCTTCAATTTTAAAAATACTACGTGTGATAGAAATGGTTTTAATAGTAATATTCTAAAAGCTCACAAGATGGGGATATCTCCCCATAAAACATCAGCTTCACATACCTCCTGTGTCATCCCACTCTCCAGAGTAGGAAATCAGTTTTATTACGGATTGAAGAATGGTGAGAATAGACCTGTGCTTGTAACACAAAAGTTATATTTTTAGCATCTGGTACCATTTACCTTGTATAAAAATAGCATGTTTTTCCCTCTCCCAACACTTTATTAGGGAAAATTTTAAACATACTGAAAAGCTGGAGGAATTTGTGCAGTGAACCCCACATACCCACCACCTGGTATCTACAATTCTCATGTTATGACATGTCCTCTATTACATTTTATTCATCAGAACAGGGGCTTTCCACCTGTAGTCCATGGGTGTGCTTTAGGAGACCTGTGGAGCCTCTGAAATGATATTTCAAAAATTGTGTATGTGTATATTGGCCATTTTCCTAGGGTAGGAGTCCATAACTCTTACTAGATTCTCAACTGTAGTGTTCCCCTCCCCCACAAAAGTATTGCAGTTTCATTTTTATTTAAAAAATCAGGATGAGACACCTGTAACCACATCTGCTTTTGGGGCATAGGATTTACAAATAGTGGTTTGCCTGTGGCTGCATTGCTGTGTGAGGTTAGGCTTTATTTTCTTGGATGACTCTAATTTACACAGCCAAAGCTCTGACAGCCACTTATGAAGGTCCCTTTGTTTGGAGGGGCCCATGGGTAGCCCAGAGTAGAGGGTCCAGATTTTTTCTACTTCCATATGGAGGTAGCAAATTGTCGTGGCTAAGAACTCAGAATCAAGGGTGACACTGCCTGCCTTAAAATCCCAGATGCACCACTGGCTAGCTGTGTGACCTTGAGAAGGTCACTCAACTCCCCTCTGCGACATCTGTAAAATGGGGATGAGAAGGTTATAATCAAGATGAACTGAGTTACATATAAAGAAAGTGCTTAGAACACTGCCTGGCACATTAGTGTTTGCTCCTCTGATTATGATGATTTTATTACCATCTTAGCTTGGGCTGCTATAACAAAATATAGACTGGGTCACTTAAACCACAGAAATTTATTTCTCATAGTTTTGGAAGTTGGGAAGTCTGAGATGAGGGTGCCCGCTCAGTCAGGTCCTGGTGGGGGTTCTCCTCCTTACCCAGAGGTGGCTGTGTTCTTGCTTTATTCTCACACGATGGCGAGAGAGAGTGTGCTGCCTTCAGTCTCTTATAAGGGCACTACTCCCATCATGGGGCCCCACCCTCATGACCTCATTCAAAACTAATTACCTGCCAAAGGTAATTGGCCCCACCTCCCAATACTGTCACACTGGGGGTTCAGCTTTCAACGTGAATTTTGGAGGGATACAAACATTCAGTCCATGACAATTATTATTATCCCATTCCCTTAAATTGATGGTGTCTTAAGGGTACAAATAAGACAAAAATCAGCTGAAATTCTCTCATGGCTTTGCAATAAAGCAAAAAAGCTCTAGAGGTTGTGGCACAAAGGAAGTGCTGCCGGTCCCTTCCTATTTTATCCACGAGAATTTCTGCAAACACTTGGGAGAGCACTCCTGCTTATGTTTGAATGAGAGAGCTGAGAAGTACCAGGTCTGAGAGGCATCTGCAGTGTTTCAGCCCGTGGGTTCACGCCTGCAGTGTTTATCCAGCTCCTCTCAAGCATAGGCCTGTACAATGGACTGTGAAAAGGAAATGTCAGCCCTGGCTCATGTAGCTCAGTGGATTGAGTGCGGGCTGCGAACCAAAATGTCACAGGTTCGATTTCCAGTCAGAGCACATGCCTGGGTTGCAGGCCATGGCCCCCAGCAACCGCACATTGATGTTTCTCTCTCTCTCTTTCTCCCTCCCTTCCCTCTCTAAAAATAAATATATAAATAAAATCTTAAAAAAAAAGAAAGAAAAGGGAATGTCAAAGGGAGGTTGCTGCTCGGTGGTTAGGGATAAGCAAATACAGGATAAGGGAAAGATGAAGGAAGCACAACATAACCCGTTTTTCCTATCAATGGTATGCTCTTAAGTCTGAGGGTTGTTTCAGTTGATAGGGTGTCCTGGTGAATGGGGTGTGCAAGATTGGGTTGGGAGATAGTCCCAGATTAAAATTCCCGAGGAGGAGCAATATTGAACTTTCTGGGGATTAGAAAGTTAGCTAATAAGCCTAGTTTCCAGAGCCGATTGAGCATATTTCCCTGTGTACCAACTGGGCAAAATAATTCCTTGTTTTGCTTCTCAATGCTATGGGGGAAAGAAGGAAAACGATTTGTCATGGAATCAGTGGACCTCCTTGGCTTAAAGGATTTCTACCATGATTACATCTCTCTTTCGATTTTCAACAGCCAAGCAGGTTGAATATCTGGTCAGTGAAAAGCACATCTATCTGCTGCCAAGTGGTCGGATCAACATGTGTGGCGTAACCAGCAAAAATATAGATTACGTGGCCACCTCCATCCATGAAGCAGTCACCAAAATCCAGTGAAAAAGCAACGACGACACCAGCACCACCAAAGCGGTCCTGTCACGTGTGTCCCCTGCCTGCACAAACCTAGTTGTATACATCATGGATTAATTAGACTTTTGCGGGACTGAAAGTCTGCTCTGGAGGGGTGGCCTCTGCCTAAACTGGTTCCACGTGAAGGGAACATCCGTTGAAAAGAAACGTGGGCCTGGGATGAGAGCCCTTTTGGAGGCCAGAGCAAACGAAGCTTTCTATTTAAGAATAAAACGGTACTTTTGATCATGAGGCGTAGCTATCTTGCCCCCTCACTAGAAACAGGAGTCTTGCTGTGTTGCTTGTGTGCTTCTGTGTGTTGCCTGACTCTATAAAGTCTAGTCCCAAAGTTCAAGTTGTCTGAAGAGCCACATGTGATTGTGGGTGTTGTTTGTCATTAAAACTCATCATCTCTACCTGGAGTGTGTGTCTCCCTGCTCTTTCCGCATGGTTGTGTCCCTGGCCCCAAGCTTTAGTTCTTCAGGGCAGCCAAAGTAAGAAATAAATATATTTACATCATGCACACGTGCACACATTTAACTGAAATGTCACAAACCAGTATTTGCCCTTCTACGTGCAATGCATTCTGGTTATTTTCTAGTCCATTCCCTTCTGTTGTGTTCCATTTCACTAAAGAAATAAAAGTGCTGATTGAGAACCCGTGGAATTGGTTTTGTGACCCACTAATGGGTTGTAACCCATGGATTAAAATGGGTGCTGGAGAAGGATGTATGTGTTAGCTGCTGGCAGCAGGCTTCTCTTCAGTGAACGCGCCGCTCCACAGCTCTTGCCGGTTACCTGGGTTTGTCCTACAGAGACCAGTTGTCTTCTTGTATCACTCAAGACCCTGGACGTCACGGATTCATAGAAGGGTTGACAACCCTCAGGGTGATTCTGGATCACAGTCCCGCCCAGTGCAGTCGAGCACCTCCTGATCTGTTAGAGCCACTTCAGCACAGATCACATTATCCAGAGTCCGAGGGACCTTACCCCTGATGGTTCTGTAGAATTGGAGTCCTGAGTGTGAAAATAGTGAATGATAATCCTTGTTTTAACAGGATCTGCCCCTTTCTAGGATACCTTTGAGTTGTTAGAAAATCATACAGTCTTTAGGGATAATTGGGGTCTTCAAAGTCAACGACAGCTTCTCTCCCCAAGTGTTATAGTCTCTTCCATGCTGACCCCCGGGGACGGGGGTGGTGGTGGTGGATTCTTTTAACACTTGGTGAAGCATCCCCATTCTGTGGATGGAGCACCGTAATTAAAGAGGTTGTTTACCTTGGTCCAGAATTTGATCTGTTTGTTCTACTTCCCTGGTCTCCTTCCTCCTTTCCTTTAGACCACAGACATTAAGTCCACTGGCACTTCTAGTTGATGACCTTCTAAATATTTGAAGTAGCAGTTGTTATTCCTAGTTGTTGCCCTTCTATGTGAAGCACCCCCCTCCCCCCATTTTTCAGTGTTCCTGCACAGGAAATGGTTTCCAAGTCCCTCACCATCCCGCTGGGTCCTTCAGAGAACTCTGCTAGTGTGCGATTGGGCTGGTGATGAGAATGGATTTAAAGTGATGAAATGTAAATGGTGATGGAAGGAGACTTGACTTTGGTGAACGTACAATACAATATACAGATAATACGGAATTGTACATCTGAAAACTATATAGTTTTATTAACCAATGTCATCCCAATACATTTTTAAAAGTTTTTTTAAAAAGTGATGACTTGACCTCACACTTCACTCCTTGTTACCTTCCATTCCATTTCCTTCCTATCAGGGTTTGTTCTTCCTACTGAAAGATGCTTGTCGTGAATAAGGGAAGACAGGCAGAAAAGGAGTAAAATGATTTCACCTGTCAATCTTCCATTCCCAAAGCATAGTTTTAAACCAGGGTTGAAATCTCTCAACGAGGATATTACCTGCCAGGGGGCAAAAAAAGTCTAAGATATCAAAATGGTTTGTGGCCCTCCAATGCAGTCCCATTGGACAAAATCTTATTTCCTTGGTATTTAGTTTCTCTTGGAAAATTTAATTTTTCTCTTTGTGGAGGGGGAGTAGCTAAATAAGAAATGGTTAAAAAATATTTCTTTAAACCAAAGTGCCTCTACCAACATGCTAAAATGTTTTTAGTGCTTAAGAAAAAGCCTTAGTCTCGATGGGAGTTCGGCCTTCTTCATTCTCCTACGCAGGTTTTGTTCAGTGTTTCCCCATGTGTCCCCATGAACAAAGCGCTCTTGGTAAGTTTGGGAACCACGGCGCTTGGTAAGTTAGGGTAGGGCTCTTTGCCGCAGGACTTTTCAGGGCCTTCCACATGCAGCCGTGCACTGTGAGCTTCGGAGATACAATGGTTTCACAAATGTTGCCTGCTCTCGAGGACGGCACTCCTCCAGGCCCTACCACTTCCTGGCTGTGTGACCTTGAGCAAGTCACCTGAATGCTCAGAGCCCACTTTGCGATTAAAACAAAACAGACTAAGATCTTCACAGGGTAGTTTTTGAGAAAGAGATGAGCAAATGGATACTCAGCCCAAGACTTGGCACATAAAGCCCTCAGTTACTGCCGATGATTTTTTACTGTTAATGAAGTTAAGAGCTTTTATGGAGGCTCTTGGGAAAAATCTTAAGTTGTCCTGGCATAGGCCGCTAATTGTCCTGGGTTCTGGTTTGAGATTGGCCACAGGTGTCAAATCCCAGGCTCCTTCCACAACAAAGATGTTAAATGTTACCCAACACACCTTCCCACAGGCCTGGCTGTTCCCTCCCTGCTGCATTGGTTTAAAACTGACCAATTAGCCTGGCTCACCCCCCTGTTCCTTTCCCCAGCTTTTGGTGGAAAACTTTTGGAGTCTCACCACTGCAGCCTCTCTCCAAATAGTCTGTAAAAAGCAAGCCATTGTGACTAGCATGTGGTCTCAAGGGCTAGGCTGGGTCTGGCCCCCAAGACCTTGAACTTGAAAAGTGCCTACCAGTGTGTCATGCATCACATGGGTTTAACAAAATACTGTCTTAGTGCTTCTTTCTTGCCCTCATTCACATTCTGGCTTCTTCTCATTTGGGTTTTACTTCCCATTTCTGGCATTTGCTCTTGCAAAATCTTACCCATCTGGCTTTCCAAAGCAGAGCACCAGCACTTTGCTGTAACCTTAACTGCAGTCTCACACCTGGTCTTCAGAACAAGCCTCTTCAGGCAGGTGGACCCCAGGTGAGGTCATCACATGTGCGCTCCATACAACCTGTATCTCAAATAAAACCACTCCAGAACTCTGAAATTCAGGGGCAAGGAAAACAGTCGCATTTCAGGAAAAGCATTTTCATTTTATTTAAAAATTATTTACAATTCATGAAGCCTTCATAGATGCTTTATTTTAAAATTACAATCCTCTTTTTTTTAAACTTTTTTAACCTGAAGAAAATTTGGGGTGGTGCAGTTGGGGAATAGGGAAGGGAGTGGTGACAGGCTCCGTAGGGATTTTGCAAAGGGCTGGATGTAATGCGATAGTGGTGGCCTGAGTGGTAATGTAGGGAAGACTAGCCAGACAGGCCCCCTTGGGCCCGTGGCCAGCTGGGCAAGAAGAATGCATGATGACATTTCTTGCTTGAAATTTACAGTTTGCTGGTTTGGGCCCAAGGCAGTCAGCACGTGGGTGGGGGAAGGGGGCTTGACACTGCCTATTCCTACCAGGTGAGACTAGGTGTTGGAGGTGGGTGGTAGCTGTGGAACTGTCCACGAGAAGTCATGCACTGCTGAGCCTCAGGTAGGGCCAGGCAAGGGATGTGAAGTCAATAATACACTGCTGGAGAAGGCATCCCCAGCTGGAGAGTCTACTTCCACAAGCTCCTGGCTTCAAGAGCTGCTCCGGTTTGGCGGGGAAGAGGGGGATGAAGTTATGTGGGGTGTAGGTTGTGCACAGCCTAGGGTGTGCACAGCCTAGGGTGTGCCAAGAATTTCTGAGGACCACTCCTTGGTGGGTGCCAGCTTTCCCCATTGATTTCAAGGACACTTGCGAAGACCACTTACGACTAAAAATCTGTCTCAAACTGCCACTGTTCACTTCACTCTGCATTGCAGAAACCTTGGGCTGAAAGTTCCACTTTCAGTTAAAATAGTGGTTTTTAACCCTTTGTGGGCCTGAGGCCTTGGAGAAACTTATGAAAGCTTTAGCCCTCCTGAAAACACGCATAAGAACACATACACTAAATTCCTAGTGTTACAAGTTTCATGGACCCTCTGAAGTCCAACAATGGACCCCTTGGGGTGATGGACCCCAAGTTAAGAACTCCTGAGTTAAAGGTTCCTGTGGGTAAGCATTTTCTTTTGAGCTGCAAGTAACCCAGAGGAATTATTATATGATTACTCAGCCCATGTGATTATTGATGGAATGGGTGAGGACATGGGAATGTCCTGATTGTGGAGGAAGGGGAGGTAAGCCTGGTGGTCTACCCCAAAGAAAAGAACATTAGGGAATGTTCTGGAGATTCAACAGGCAGCACTGGATCAGGGAGCTAGATCAGAAAGGGACACAGATGTCCCAAAGACAACCTTCACGTCCACCTTTTCCCTAAGGCTGGCTTTGAGTCCAGAGTGGAACATTTTCTACTCAAGTAGGTATGTGCGGTCATCCTGCCATCTGATGGTTATGTTTGGAACTGCATCTGTCCCCACATCCAGGAGGAAAACCAGAGACCTAACATGTTCTTGGATTAAAGTACACATGGCTGACCTACTGGGGTGTAGTAAGGGGTAGGGGTGGGGGGAACGGATGAGAAAGAGGAGAGACTCTTCGCTGTTCCTGTGTAATGCACACTGAAGTCCCATGAGAGCTTGCGTCCTTCTTGGCTGACCTGGGCACTCTTTGGTTTGTCATGGCTGAACTTGCTTCAATAGCTTAGAATTTTTCCATATATATTCTACTTCTATTTGAACTTAAAACCCAAAGTTCCATCTCTGGCTCCCAAATGGGTGTCTCTGCTCCCTGTTCCTCTCCCAGAGCCGATTTACTGATGGATTGGTAACTGGCGAGGGGAAGCCAAAGCAGATGTGTCCCTGGGAAAATTAGTGACTTGAGGTTCCACTTCACGTTCTTTCCATTCCAGCCAAGACATACTTCTCAGGGCTGCTGGAACCCTATCTGACAGGGAACCGGCCACCAACAGTTTTCTGTACTGTGGCCTTACATGCCAACATGGCTGATCCCACTGCCTCCAAGTTCTGGAGGAATTCTTGGTGCATTAGTTCTCCTGAACTAACTTGCATACCTGCTACTCCGGCCTCCTCCGTGCCTATCTTGTCAGTGGCACTTCTGAGCTAAGCTAAGCATGAAATATGACATCAGGGGATCTCAAAGAACAAAAGGGGCATCAAGGGTCCCCGAGTGGCAATGTCAGCTTGGGGTCATGTCTTTTCCAGTCCCAGACTGTGCTGTGGACAAGACCATTTCTAGCATGTTGCACTGGAGTCACCTCCTTCCACTGTGGCCACAGCAAGGCTCTGAGTCAAACTGGAGGCAACGAGGGAAAATCTGCCAAACTGACGGGAAGGGGTGAAGAGGTGGTAAGGGAAGCAGTGCGCTCTGTCACCTGTGGGAGGCCTTGGGAGAAGCAGATGATGGGAGGGTGGGTTCTCCCCCAAAGCTCTGGAATCTCACGCACTCAGCAAACCATGTCTGCCCCTGTCATGTGATCAGAGGTGTTAAATTGGAGTTCTCCTCAGAGTCTCTCTCTCCATCGGGTGACCTCTTCCCTTTTCGACCACCTGAAAAACACAGTTTGTGAGGATCACTCTGTAAGACTGGGAAGACATTCATACTCTCTTCTTCACAACAGAAGTGGAAATGGAGATAGTCTGGCAGGAAGGAATCTGCCTTGTGTCCTGCCTGGTGCTGATATCAGCATGTTTACATCCTGAAGGATGAGGATGCCCCTTCCACCTGAGATGACAGCTCTAAAAAGCCCCAACCCCAGGCTAGTGCTAATGGCACGGAGCTTTCCTGGAGAGAACTGAGGAAGGCCCATGTAATGCTTGGGATCATGCCTTTCCCATCCTTACCCCAATCGACCGCCTAGCCTCTGACGTAGGATTGGCCTCACACCTTTGCTGTCCCATGCATGAGCCATGGTGGTGGGTGCAGCTGGGCACCATCCCCAGGGACCTACATTCTCTAGCTCCAATGCTCTGCTGGCACTGGGTGGGTGGGGTGGAAGGGCAATCTATTCCCAGCTCTGCTGTTTTTAGAAAGAGCATTTTTTACCTTCCTTCTGCCACTGACTTCCTTCCTTGGTAGATACTACTCTCCTTTCTAATCAGTCTCCTGGACATAAATGTCTTTAAAGCACCAGGTAGTAAATACTGGTTTTTTACTATCTGCAAAAACCAGACAGGTTTTGCAGGCCTTATGGTCCATTTTGCAATTATTGAACTCTGCCATTGTGGCCATAAATAACAAATGGGTCTGTCTATGATCCAATTAAGTCTTTATTTAGAAGAACAGGTAGGGGGGTGGTCAGGGTGGGCCCAGGGCCATGGTTTGCAGATCTCTGTCTTAGATAACCGTCACTTGAATAGGACAAATCCCCAAATTACCAAGGGTGAGGTACCAGCTGAAGCGCTATGATGGATTTCCATGACTGAACCTTGTGAGGGTTCCCAAAAGGAGCCAATGGTTTCTCTTCCATGAGTAACATCCTAACATGCTTTCTCTACTAACCAGCTGGTGGGTGGCTTTTGTCTTGATGAAGAACTACTCACTTAAGGTTCTCAGTAGCTTCTTGCCCACGGTTTCCTCAAAATCGCTACTGCAGGGGCTGGTCTCTGTATCCAGGATGATATTGCAACATTCACTATCTGATGCTGAGAGGACAGAAAAAAGGACACAGGTTTTTCCAACCTACACATCCAGGGATCTAAGTGGAATGATTCTGATTGATGTTTCTTAGCAGGTGAAAGTTCAAAACCAGAGCTAAGTCAGCAGGGGCCCTAACAAGGGAGGGATGCCCAGGAAGCCTTTATTTAGCAAGGGGCACTTTAGTGCCACAAAAGGAACAAAGAGACAGAACAGGAATCAGAATCAAGTATTCAAAGTCTGGCAAAGGAAAGAGAGAACAAAATGTTCTCTACTCGGCATCTTTGCCAGACAAAAAGCACATCTGAGGACAGGTGGGGATGTTTCCTTCCTCTGTTTGAACAGACCCTGGGAAATCACAGGGCTCAATAACAATTAAGTGCATGTCAGGCTTTCTCCCCCTGAACCCAGTGAGAAGTCAGAAATCTCAGCCAGGAAGGGGCCCAGGCTCCTACTGCCAACTCAGGAAGAGCCTAAACAGGAGGCAAAGCGGTGTGGTGGGAACTGCACTGCACTCTGAGCCAGGAGGCTGAGCCTCCTCTAATGCAGTATATGGACGGGCCATTTCCCTTCTCCAGGTCTCAGGGTCCTTCTGTGTCACTGAGGAGGATGGATTAATTTCCAAAGACTATCCCATCTCCTCCATTCTCATTCCTTTGATACAATTTCTTGCTACATATTTTAGCTACTAAACTCGGTGTGTGTGGGAGAAACAGAACATCAGCTCTAAATTTGGGTCCTGGGCCAGTGATTACATATGTCCCAGATTTGCCGCATTAGCTACAATTTGATACATGTTGTCTCCCTGACTTTGAAAATCTATGAGCACTTGTCAGGTCATTGCTCTGAACTTGAGGGGTCTCAGACTATGGCCCAGGGCAGATCTCAAACAAAGGTCAGGTGGGGTAACTGCTAACCTGGGGAGTGGGTACCAAGGGCTGCTGAAAGCTTGGGGGAGTGTATCTTGGGCAAGAACAGAGAGATCTCAGGACTGCTGGGACACTGGGAGCTTGGAGCAGCACCATGTCAAGTCAGGGGCATCCAGTGTCCCGGAGGGAGGTGACATGATTTCAGACTTCAGGACAAGTCCTAAGGTTACTTCTGGTCTCTGGGCCTCAGAGGAAGGGAAGGGCCCTGGCAATGAGTGGTGGCAGACTTCCATGTCTTGATCTGTAAAGCAGGTCTGACAATCACTGCGTAATATTTAGAGAGCGTGGTACCAAGCACTGGGATGTGCCCCCTCTGTATTTTATCTCGTCTGTGCTCAAAGCTACTTTATGAGCTAGTTACCATGATTTGTATTTTTTTTTTAACATAAAGAAACTTACCTCTTTAGACAAGGAAACTGAACCTTCAGTCACAGTAACTTGCCTAAAATTGCATAGCTCCTAAGTGAAGGAGCCAGGCTCTGAACCCAGGTGGAAGCCTGGCTCTTAACACTACCCTACACACTGCCTTCCCAGGAGAATGAATTAGGTTGGGTCTGATGCATAGTGGTTGCTTAGTAGACAACAATTTCCTTCCCTGGTGTTAAGAGCTGGGACCTACTACACAGGGGCCGGGGCCCCAGGCTCCCCTCACCCAGTGCCTGACGGCAATGACCTCCGTGCTCCTCCGAGCCCTGTTTCCCTCCCTGACCTGCTCTTGCGGGAACTGCTGCAGGAGACAGAGAGAGCTGCTGCGTGCTGTGGTCCTCGAAGTCTGTCACATCCTCCTGGGTGAAGGTCATCTCCTCCATCCTCAGGTACACGACCTCGCCGGGGCTTCTCAGCCCATCTGAGTGGCTGCCTGAGGAGCACACGAGTGTCACCCCTCTGCTTTGGAGAAGGCCTGGGGCTCCATGAGGACAAGAGAGCAGCTCTGGACAGCTATGAGGAGGAAGGCAGGGCTGCCCCCACCCAAAGGTGGCCCAGCCCATCCGCCTGACTGACTTACACGGCAGGCTGTTCCTGTTGTTCAGGAGGGTGACAGCAGGGTCATCCTTGGGGGTTTGGGGTGTGCCCCGGATCGTGGGGGCCTTGGTGGAGTCTCCATCAGCGAAGGCCTCCATGTCGGGGGACTGGGGTGAGCTGTCCATGTGGCAGGCGGTGAGTGCATTCTGGTACTGCTGCCGTGTGATCTGGAAGGAAGAGGCAGAGGGGGCAGAAGCTCAGGAGGAGCTGGGCCGAGCCCTCCCCAGGTGTGGCCTGCCTGACCAAGCTCAGATGCAGCCCCACCAGGGTGCTTTGGGACCCAGGACTCTGGCCTGGGCCCATGAACTAGGGGGCCTCACCCAAGCTCTACCAGACCAGGGAGTGAAGGCAATGAGGGGACCCTTTGCTTGTTTGCCACCGGTGTCATTTTCATTGGCTCTGGACTCTTCATCTGCACCTAGAGGAGCTAAGTCTTCCCCTGAGACCCTGGAGAGGACAGAGGGCATCTTCGGTTAGCAGCGTGGTTGCCCAGGGAGATGTTTAAAATACAGGCTTCGTTGCCAAAGGGCCCTCTTCCTTAGGGTCAGTCAAGAATGACTAACTCGGCAAGAATGAGACCCTCAGCTTGTGGAAAAGGCTGAAATAAGAAACTGCCATACACAGAACACAAACTCTGACAAAACCACAGACGAAGCCAATGTGTATGTTTCGATGCCTTCCATAGTTAATATAGGAGTACATCTGCTAAATCCCTAAAGAAATGACTGCCAGAAAGAAGCTCCTTTCTCTAGGCGATTATATACTTCCTTATATTGGATGAGAACCCAAAGATCCACTGTTTCCACCCTCTCCACTTTTTTTTGGACCAGGAAGCTCACGGATAAATTTACTATTTACTTTCAGTAGCAAACTCCTTCCTGATAGCTTTTTCACCAACTTGGTTTACAATCTCTTCTCAATTTTTAAATTAAAACATAATTGGACTATTTATTTACTTTTGGAATTCATGTACTGTCTTACTGGAAGTACTATACCTATCCTAAAGAGATGGAACTATAAATTAGGTTTTCAGACGCCGGTGAAAGCTCTAGTGCTAGCGTTACCCAGAAGGGCTTGTTTTGCAGGCAGAGGTTGGTAGAGGAGGATGGGACCTTCCATCCACATAGTGCGTTACAGCTTACAGAGCACAGAGAATCGCCTTTGCTGGTCATGACTGTATGGGGTGGGCAGGCAAGGTCTGGGACTCCCCTTATTACGAGTAAAGGAAATGGGGTCCAGGAGTTTGAGGAACTTGCCTAAGGTTTGGGGAGGCAGGTCTTCAGATCGTGGCCAGCGCACTAGCTCCTGCAGTCTGGGTTTGGCCTGGGGGGACCGCTATTCACTCTTTGGAGCCAGGGTGAACTGAGAATGTGCAACTCCAAGCTCTCAAAGGGGAAGCTCCAGAGTCTAATAATAGCTCCCTGTAATTTGGATATTTTCGTTTAAAGGGTCTTCACTCTTGCTCTGTACGCCGCAAACGTACCTTCCTGCATTAGGCTGTCTTTCTCATGTCCACCGAGATGGCCTTTCACAGTCCTTCAGGGAAAAATGCCCCAATAGCTACTTTGTAGTTTTGGGCTACATAAGAATCAGGAGGACTGACAAAAAGCTGGCACAGAGCTGAACCAAGGTCATCATCAAAACACAGTTTTTTTAATGTGCCTACAGGTTTTCTGAATGTGAAGCTTTCTTTGGAGTCTTGTGGGTTCTCCTGGCTTAAAGGACAGGAAAATCTCCTAAGCGATGCTTGATAAGCCCAACAAAGCACCTGGTATTACTTAGGGATATGAACTTCTGGATATGTTGACTTAGTAGCCAACATATCCAGAAGTTCACCTTTAACCAGTGCGATATCTCCTATCATTTCATGACTTTCATCCCTGAAAACACAATCCTGCAATTTAGGGATTCTGCCACCAGATGGTGATGAGGCATCTTGGTCGCAGTGACACAGCCAGACTATGCCAAATATTCTTAGTGTAATAATGATATTTACAGAACATATTTTAAAAAAAAGGCATAAGGACTCTTTGGTATCTTCACAACTTACTAACTACTACTAATCACAGCTCTCATATCTTCCCCAGATAATCACAAGGTCCACTTTTCTACCTAATGTTGTAACTTACTGTGAGGTCAATTTACTCCTGGACTTAATAAACAGTTCTGGATTCTGGAACTTCATTCAGCCGGTCACAAGGGCTTCAGCCAGTGAAAACTCCCCTTTTGTATAGACTTCTCTAAAGCTTCCTCAAAAACTCTCTTTGTGTTAAAAAAAAGGGGGTGGGTGGGCGGGAGAGGTCAATAAGAGAGCAGCCTACATAACGGTCCTCACATGTCCATTAAATGAGGAGGAGGGGACTTTTAACTTTAGTCTAAGGCAGGGGTGTCCAGCCTGTGGCCCATGGGCCGCATGAGTCCCAAGATGGCTGTGAATTCGGCCCAACACAAAATTAAGTGAGTATTTACTTAAAATATTATGAGATTTTTGGGTGATTATGTGTCTCAATATATTTAATGTGTGGCCCAAGACAACTCTTCTTCTTCCAGTGTGGCCCAGAGACGCCAAAAGGTTGGACACCCCTGGTGGCATCACCTTAACTTACATTAAAATAATGAAACATGAGAAAAACAACACCAAGCCCTGTGTTAAAACGAGGGCTTGAATGGTCAAATTCCCTTCTATCGAACCACTCACTCCAGAGTTCTCCATTTGCAAGACAGGAAGAGGCTCTCAGCAGACACCAGCTCTGCTGGCACCTAGAACTTGGACTTCTAGCCCCCAGAACTGTGAGAAACAAGTTTGTTGTTCAAGCCACCCAGCCTACGGTAATTTGTTGTAGCAGCCCAAACAGACTAAGACAAATAGAAAGACCTGAGGTGCAAACCTAATGAAAACTCCCAGTTCAAACAGAATCCAAATGCCTTACTCTGGCCAAAAAGGTGCCAGCGGGCTCTGCTGCTGATGCTCCGGTCTCATCTCACAGCAGCCGCTGCCCTCGTGCCCAGATCCCCGAGCCACCAAGCTCTTCCTGCCTGTTGTTTCTGTCTTGAACATTCTCCCAACTTCCCATTTCGGGTCTCAGCAAAAACATCCTTTTCTCGCCTGCTCTGGTGACCATTTCTAAAGCAGGCTCACTGTTCACCCCACCACCCTGTTTATTTCATCATAGCTGTTATCACTACCTGAAATTACCTAGGTTTTATCTACGTGATGACTTGTTTACCATCTTTCTCCCCTGTTGGCATGAAAGGTACAGAAAGGCAGGAGCTTGCCGTCTTGCTCGCCCTGGTAACCACCACTGCCTGGACAAGGCCGAGCACACAGCAGGCATTCGGTAAATATTCGAACCACTAACTCCTACTGTGACTTTCTATTTCTCTTCCTACAAATCATGTGGCCAGTCCTACAAACCAGTAAGAGTTAGCACAGTAGAATTTCCCTTCTCCCATTTCGTCCTACCTCTGCTTCTTGGGAAGGTTTACAATGAGAGGGCTGCAGGGCTGGAAGTGAAGCCAGGAGAAGAATCATGGGCTCTGGCTTTCTGAGGTTTAACTGCATCGTCACATTGTCTGAGATCATGGAGGAATGGGATGTACATCCTGTCCCGCTTCCCCAGCCAACTCTGCCAGCAGGATCGAGGGACGGTCCACCTGCGGGAGTTACCTTCACAAACTGCACGTCGCTAAGGATGTGAACTGAGTAGTCAGGAGTGTAGAGGTTGTTGTTGCTACTGCACAGCTGAGTGTTGCTCCCTCCGAAGTCGCTGCGCTCTCGGTTGGGAGACTCAGAGCGGTTCAACCCGCTGCAGCGAGAAGGGGAGCGGTTCACTGCAGGTGATGAGGGAGAGGGGAGGGAGAAAAGGCAAGGAGGGGTGGGTGCAGAGAAACGAGAGGGGACCAGAAACAGAGGCGGGGGGAGAGAGAGGGGGGTGTTGTTTACTGTGGTTCTGCAGGACTTTAAGGCAATGGTTACCCTGGGTGGTAGAACCAGGCCCTCACCCTCCTGTCTGAGCCCAGGGAAACGTCCAGCTGCCCCACTGATGTTTATTCCTTCGAGGGGCAAACACCTAGGACAGGAACTCATGGCTCCTCTCTGCTCAGATTCTTCCTGTTCCCAAGACAGCCAGCGAGAAGCTGGGCCGAGGGTATTGCTGCCTTATCTGGTTCTGGTTTGGGGTTGAGTGCTGTGGAGGAAAAGGGGGCTCTGTAATACATCTGACAGAAAGTAACCCCTCAGGGTGATCTGATCCTAAATTTCTCACCAGGCAGTCACACCCCAGGCCTACAACAAGGTTTAGGCAAGCCCTGTCCATGGCTCTCATGCATCTAGGTTAACACACCTTTGAAATGTCAGTGTGGTCCTCTTTTCCAGACCCCTCTGAAGTGTGACCGCTCTCTAGGAGGCTCAGGATCTTAACTATCCTGTGCCTTGCTTTCTCCCATCTTCCTGCAATCGTCCTTACATCCTTCCTTAATTTCCATCGTATATAACAAAGTGCAAAATTGTCATTCTCTGGGGCGTTGCAAGATCTTGCTCCCTGGCATGTGGTCAGTTTGGTTCAAATAAACTCACAAAAATTCTCTACAGGTTGGGTGTTCTCACACTGACAGTGTGGATGACGCCCAGGCTATAGGTGTGGTTGGCTACCCTGACCATGGGACCTTCTAGCAGGGTACGTTATTTTGTATGGACTCCATTCACAAACCTTACTTTAGAAAGGCCAAGATCTGCCCTCAAACCCGTCCGCCACAGCCCAGGTAACCAATCCTTCCTGCACTGCCATGCTGCGGGTGTGGTAACTCGGGTCTGCTCCACACCGGCTGGGCCCGGGGCATGTGGAGGCCCACAGACTCTGTGGGTACACGTTCAAGTCACACCCGTGAACTGTTAACATAGGTTCTATCCTTGTCCTTGACAGCCTGGAAGGCCAGGTCCGACTCCTTAGAGTTTTGTGTCAGAAAATAGGGCTGTATGAGGAGAACCGAGCCCCAGCCCCCTTTTTGAATGGGGAATTCTGGGATTTTTGTATCTTGAAATATAGTCTGGAAGGAAAAACAAAGGTTGTGTGGGCATATCCTTTTGGCCTGAAAAACTCCTCACCCCACAGAGAGGGCCAGGATTTAGGAGGGCTAAAGTGGGGCCCTCTGAAGTGCAGGGCTAGGGCAGGGCACCTTCTGTGCCTAACGGGGAGGAGAGAACAAGGCCTCCTAAATGTTCAGAGTCACTTTGTCTTCCATTTTTCAAGAAGCACCTCTTGGGAAAGCTCAGTTAGGACTGTGTTACTTGGTTTCAAAGTAAACTGTGTGAATTACCCTCCCCAGGATTAACAGAAGCAAAGTTTTGAAGATGACCCTAACTTGATCTCAGTTTGGGAATAAGTCCCTCCCAGTCCTCTGCTTCCCAACTGACACCACTCTGCATTTCTCCTTAAAAAGGAGAAACAGCAGGCTGTCTGCTTCTCATAACACAGATTTAGCCCAGGGTTTCAAATGAAGAGTCCAATAATTCAGAGATTCTGCTTTTTGTTCTTTCAGGGTAGAACCTCAGGAATTTAATTCCCTCTCTTGAGATAATGTTGTCATCAATCAAAATATCTGATTAGCATCTATTTGGAGTGAGTCCTTCGGGGCTGATGATCTGTTCAGCTGCCAAGCTATTATTGTCATCTGGCAAACTGTGTTTCAGAAAGATTAAAATAACAACAGTGTGAATCATTTTTTTCTTTAGAACCGTAAGGATCACTGCTTTGATAAGATCACCGAATTAAGGATTCCACTTTGTCTTCCCCTTCTCAGTAAATGTCATTTATGTAAACTGTTATTTACACTGGAAACCAGGAGCCACCCTGACCCCTGCCACTCCGCCAGCCCCGCCTCAAGTCCTCTCATCTCTCCACCGCTCACAGAATAAGCCCATCTGCCTCTATCTCTGTCTCAAGTCAGAGCTGTCATCCCTCTCACCTGGCCCACAGTCTGGTCTCCCCACTTACACTCATATTTATAATCAGTTCTGACCTCAGCTACCAGAAGCACATTTAAAAAACACAAATCAGTTTCTTATTGAATCTGAATAAAATCCACACTTTGCTGTGACCCTAACGCCCTGCCATGACCTGACCTCTGCCGTCCTGCCTGATTGCATCTTGGGACTCCCTTCCCTGCCCCTGCTTGCTCTGTTCTACTGGCGGCCCGGGGGATCCTCAATCATGCAAGCATCTTCCACCTCTGTAGATACCATTTCCCCTGCTCTCTCTTCTCCTTTTATCCCACCCCTACCCGTGCCCCCACCCCCACCCCCACCCCCAATGCCCCGAGGGCATTGACCTTGTCTTCTCTGGTCATCATTGTACACCCAGTACCTAGCATGGGGCCTGGCCTAGAGTAGGTGCCCAATAAAAATGTGCAGAATGAATGAATTATCAGCACATAACAGTCTCCCAAGGACTTTCTTAAAATTGAAAATCTAAATGTTGTTTTTTAAAGAAGTTTCAGAGCTCTCAACTCATCCCGGAATCAGAAAACCTTTCCCCTGCATCCTAAAGTCATTCTGAGAAAGTGGGCATTTCCAAGAAGCTCGCAGTGGGTAGGACACCCCAGAAACACAGCTGGGGAGTGCGGTCACGTGCAGTGAGAATCAAAGGGTACCAGGAAGCCGTGGGCGCTGGCCCGGTAGCCTTAGACCACAGGGAGCATTAAGATTTTCTATCTGTTTGACTGTCTAGTAGGAGCTTTTGCAACTGGAGGTCATGGAGTCAGGTCTACTTATCCACTGGGCTTTAGAGGGCTGGACCCTCCTCCAGAGTGACCAAGGACTGAAAGGGACAGGGATTGGGCAGACAACAGAGTGAAGCACCAAGGTGACTGTAAATGGCGGTAGTAGTGGGCAGAAAAGTATGTATTTAATTTCTGGTCCTGGTCCCTTGAAAACAATGACGAGTTTTGGCTTGGCTAGATTCATTTGTGCCGTTCTAAGGTGGTGGCTGGCTAAGTCCATTGACGGTGCCTCACTGGGGCGAGTTCTTAGGGCAAAGGCAGGGAGCTCTGCAGGAGAGCGGCTTCTGTGGCCTGTGAGTGGAATCTGGAAAACCATACCTTGACCTGCTGGGTCTGGTCCCCAGTTCAGTTTGAGACAAGAAGAGAGAGTGTAAGCAGGCCCTGTGGCTTCAGTTACCCTGAGAAATAACCATCACTCCTTGATAACTCTGTCTGTCTGGTGGGGCATGTGCTTCACGTGCCCCACATCTGCTGTCCCACATCCTCATCCCTTCTGTCACAATCCAAGGTGCATTCAAGGAAAATGACAGGGAAGCACAGCCCTGTCTTATCCACTAAAAAATTTCCATCCATAGGAGGTTCTGCCTGAATCACTTCTACCCCTTATTAGACACAGAGGCAACACATAGTGTCCTGGTTCTCCCAGAGTGCTCCTCCTCACTGACACCCAGCACAGACATGTCACCATGTCACCCAGCATAGACATGTTGCTCACAGGGACCTGCATGTCAAACACAAACAACACTGCTGTTGTGCTGGGAAGAGACACAGGGCTTTTTTTTTTTTTTAAGTAAAAACAGTGCTATTGAAGGTTTATTTGTAAAATCCCAAAGGATTACCCACACCAGCAGATAGAGCTGTCTTACAAAGGTCAGGTCTACAAAAGTAATTTTTAAAAGGAAAAGAAATCCTCGTTTCATGACTAAGAAAGTCCCCAGCTCATCCAAGTGTTGTGTAAGATCAGTATTTTCATGTCCCAGAGCCTGACATTCCTCAATAGGTGGGATGCTGATGACTTGGCTTTTTGGTAATTGTGCCCATGCACGCAGAGGTTTCTGAGGGACATGGAAATGCTTTTAATACAAAAGGAGAAGAAATCAGTAACAGACGAGTGTCCCAGCAGCATGGCAAAGTAGTTCAAGTTGTACAATTCCCTTCGGCATTTCCTAAGCACACAGAGGCACAGCTTGGGGAGTGAAGCGAAGAGGGAAATCCTGGCTGCAGTGCGAAGAGGTCTAAGGGCGGACAGACCAAACAGTGATGCATGACACTGACCACAGGACACCTCTACTGGAGGGAGGCCAAGCAGCCAACACAGCCCTTGTCAACTCTTGCTCATCACGCCCTCAAGCTGCCCTGGAGAGACAGGGTGGTGGTGGGGGGGCAGGGATTTCTACTCAAGACCTCCAAGTGCTATGGAGAAGTTGGTAGACCTCATTGCCTGGTTGGTCTGCAAGGTGTGTCCTAGATGACAAATCAGAGTGACTGAGGTTGCGGGGAGAAGACACAGGGGTGTAACTGGGGGTAGTGTGGAAGAAGATTTTCCACTGCAGATGGGGCTGCATGGAGTCTCCTTTGCATTGACAGGCAGGGGCCCCAAAAACCTACGTACAGCTCTGGTACTCTTGCTTCACTCTTGACACCTGTACCAGGGGAGTGGTCGCAATTGTATCCCAGGAGGAGGACCCACAATAGAGAAGAATCCCCTCTCCCCTGTTCAGTCTGGGGATTTGAGGGGAAAGTGGGGTTCAATGGCTGCCTGTGCCACTGAATACATCTTTTGGAGCATTCAGTGAGGGACAGGGGGAGAGGCTCACTTTGGTCATGGTCACTGTGCCACAGGCCATCGGTGTTCTCTGAACTTCATGGGGGGAGTATAATTACACAGGCTTAGAAGAGTACAAACTAGGGTTATAAAAACGCATCATTCTGGGTTAATAGTCAACATCAGACAGCCAAATGTCAAAAGCTCTCCATCAAAGCTACAATGTGAACTCTGCAAATCAGCCCCAAGTTAGAAGCCCAGATGAACTTGCTCATGTTACACGGGGTTTTAATGGTTCCCAAATGTTTACAATGCAAGAGCCAACCCAAAGGAATATTTCCACTGACCACATTTCACAAAGTAATAAGATTATTTTTAGGGGTTCCTCATATATTCTGGGAGAAAACTCTATCCTCCTTGATCTCAAAGCACATCACAGATGGACAATTGAGCACTGACAAAGAAACCTTGCTCCCGAACTCTCTCCTGCCTCTGCTTTTGTGCAGTCAGAGGGATTGTGAAATCATCTCTGCTGTTGGGAGAAGAAAGAAGGAATGAATCTGAGGAGGAGTAACAACTGCAGCAGGCCGCATACTCTCAGTGGGTTGATTGGAAGTTTCACTTTTAACTGAAGGCACCTGCAAAGCTGGCTGCTCACACTGCACTCTGGAGGTCATCCACAGACCACTCTGCTCTCCTTACTTCACACTTAAGCTCAGAGAGCAGGAAACTCCCTATGGATAATAGTGGCAATATTTGGCACAGGAACCATGGGCCTCAATCCAATGTGAGCACCATGTTCATCAGCAGAACTGCTTTCAAAATGCAAACAAGTCTCAACCCTCTAGAGGGCACAAAACGCCTAGTTTCAGAGGCGCAGCGAGGTCTCTCTACCTTCCTATTATACTGGTGACACAGACCCAAGGGCTCAGTTTCTCAGAGCCTGTTTCCTTACCTACTGTCTCCCAACAGTAATTCCTGCCCATCTCCTAAAGTGGTTGTGGAGATCAAATAAAATGACAGGGTTCCTTTTACACTTTAAGGCCCTATTAATTTCCAGGATTTATATTCTTCCCAGTGTAAGATGGGGTTAAGACATAATTTATATACTATGCACCTGGATTACAAATCAGGTATGGGCCAGAAGGTGCCCAGGACTGCTTGCCACAATACTCTTATGAGTGAGGCTTCTTCTGCTGCTGATATGGAACAGAAGCAAGAGTGACAGTGGAAATAGCATAATATAGGTCCTGGAGATGTCGCCCAACCACTAGGAAGGCTTGGCTGTCAGCTGTAGACAGGGACCAGACAAAAGAAGGTAGGGAGGAAAGAGCCGAAGGAGAAGCAAGGCATCCCTGCCTCTCCTTTTCTCCCCTTGTGTCGGTCAGGGCTCTACTCTGCAGACTTAAACCAAGGGTTGGAGTACGGTGGCCTTGCTCTCACCTCTTTGTCACTCACCTGTTTCCTGTTGGGTTGAACACCCACAGAGAGGAAAAATGGCGAGATGGCTAAGAGCTTCCTGGAGCACATGGCACCAGCCAGCTGGACGGGAAGCCTGCCTGGCAGGACTGAGTCACCTTCATCTCTGACACTGGGTTACCGGGAAGGTGTTCGTAATCAACACCAATGAACTAGAATTAATCTTTAGTTTAACTGGAAAGTTACGGTTAACTAGGTTGTCTGGAAAACTGAGGGTTAATCAGAAAGGAAAATAACCCCCTGCTGTCACTGCTTTTTTTTTTTTTTTAATGCTTTGATCTTTTTGGTTGAAAATCTTTAAAAAATGGGGATCATCCCTTTTGCTGAAACTCAAAGCACGTTCTTCCTTCATCAGGATTCCCCACACGTAAAGGATTTTGCAGGATCATGATGTGGTCATTTCTAGTTTTGCCCGCATGCAGCAGTAGCCGGTGAGGGCACCAGCTCGGCACCTCACACTGACCTTACTGTCCTGTGGTCATCATGAAAGCAAAGTGAGAAAGATGTTGTTTCTCGGTGGAAAATCACTATCCAGTGAGAGAGAAAATTTGGTGAAATTTGAGAATGTGGTTGACTTGTACAGATAAACATGGGAACCAGATGCTTTCTGCTGGGAAACTGTGACTTGGGAGAAGTAGGAGTCAACAAAAATACTTCTGAAGTTGCAGACTTGGGGGTCTGAGCTCTCACATGGCCATTTTGAATGTTGAGGGTTTGTCTACAGATAACACAATGTAACTGGGTTTCTGATGACTGAGAATACGGTGGGGCCTCAGAATCACTACCGCAGCCCTGGGATAAGGGAGACAAATATAAGGGGGGGGGGGGGGGCGGGGACTGTGTTCCAACTCCAAAGCCATTTAACAAATAAATTCTTGGTTTGGTCACTACTTACTCCCTGAGCCTAAGAGATCAACCTCTAGACATAAAAACAAGACAAACACCTAATTGATTGTTAAGATTTATTGTATCCTACTCAATCCTTGAGTTACTGTGTAACTCTACGGGGAGCTGCTTTACCCAATTAAAAAGAAACTGGTAACTCCTATTTAATTAACGAGAGGTTAAACCTAATGAAAAGTTGTTCTGAAATTCTACATGCAGCATCCTTTGTGTGAACAGAGCCAGAGGGAATATGGTCACCACATGGTAATATTACTGGGAAGATAATGAGGATGGGTTAGTGGTTAGCTAAAGGCGAAGACCACACAGAAAGAAAGGTGGAGAAAAACAGGAATAAAGCACTAATACTCCATTGTTTCTTCCTATTTTTCTTCTGCTGCATACTCCTTCCCTCCATTCTGGAGACAGACAAATGATGACAAAAAGCTCACACCATCTCACAGCCCTTTATTTCTCCATTTACATGCACTGACCCAGCCCTGGGAGCTAAATTCACAAGTGACAACACTGAACCAGCAATGCCTGGACCCTAAGTGCAAATAAGTGTTGTCTGTGCTTTGTGTTATGCCTTCGGCCCTTAGGCCCAGGAGTGCCTCCTGGGAGAGACTGTTCTTATGCAGGAGAGTGAGAGACTAAAGGACTCTGGCAAACCCCACGGGATCTATGGGGACCCAAGACACCCATGCATGTTTACCTGGGGAGCCTGCCAGAGAGTCCCCTCTGCTGAAGGCGAAGGTATGAGACACAGAGACGGGCACTAAAGAGTCAAGGGCCAAGGATTTGTGAGTTGCGAAGGGGAAGATAAACACAAAAGGAGAGAGACAAAGAGTGTGGTGAGACAGTCTGTTCCGGGATCTTCATAGCATCACATGTATCTGCAAAGGGAATCGTGCCTCTGAAAACTTGGAAAACGCTCCCTCTTACAAAGTCACTCTCCAGGAAGAGGAACAGAAAATAGACTTTTCTGAAGGTCTTCCAAAAAGATGCATAGTAATTTTAGAGGCGATCAGACCTGCCAAAGACAAGAACAGGCATTCGCAGCAGCCTTCTTTTTGAGCCGCAAATCTGCTGGGGGCCCAGCATTGCATTCCCACCAGGCTCTCCCAGCTGCCACATGTATCTGCTTCCCAACCGGAGGGCTGAAAGCAAAGTGCATGCCCCAGCTAGGGGCATCCTTGAGGAAGCTGTATCCTGCCTGGGACTCCTAGGAGGTCCCTCTGTGGTCACAGTGCTGCGGAGGCATTATGTGTTGCTAGAGGCTTGGGAAACGGGAAAGGCAGGCAGCATTTTCAGCAATCTTAATGTGAATCAACTTGGTGAATTAACTAGCAGTCACTTCTCAGTAAGAACGAGTGCTCCAGGACACCTCTTCTCCTGTCCCCTTTTCCTTCTCTCTCTTTCTCCAGAGGGTCCAAATTGGCACTGGCCATCTCTTGGGCCCTGGGTAGAGTACACAGTAATCCTCCAGTCCTTCCCTAATCTTGACCCTGATCGAGCAGTGTTTCTGCATGGGAATCTGTCTTCCTCTCTCTTATATGATCATTTCGGGTCTCTTCCAAGCAGCTAAACGAAGCCTGTCTGCAGGTGACGGCACACTGAAGCAGGCAGCTGCTGCGGTCTTATCTGCCGTATCAGATGACTTAACTGAAAGGACCCACGACATGCAGGGGAGCATGTGTGTCGGGAGCTTTACACCTGACAATCATTTACTCTGACAGAAAATATCAAAGACGACTTGAACAGATCCTTCATGTTGTGAGATACACTGAAATAAGAAACTCCATGGTCTTAAGAAGAATCTTGGCACTTCTGGGCTACAAATTAAATGTATAGCCTGCCAAGCAATAGGAGACTTGTTCTCTCCACCTGTACAGCCCTGTGGGCTGCTTTTCTGGTCACCCCGAGCTCAGGCCCAATTCCTCCAGTGCCAAGCTCACCATGGTCCTCCCGGTTCCCTGGCAATCAGAACCAAGATAAAGGAGACAGTACTGGCTGTGTTCCCTTTGCTCCACACAGGAAAGCCAGAGTGACTTACCTATAACCTCAAGTTCAACTCTGAAGCACTGGTTACAGGGTTAGTGTTCCGGCAAACTTGTCATACCGTTTATCACCCTCAAAGGCTGATAGAACTACAGGCTGGCTTTGAGGACAGGGGCAGTTTGCTGGAGTGAGACTCTAAAAGAGTTTACTGCCTTGTGGCTAAGGCCAAGGTTCTTGGCCAGTGAAAGATGCTGGCTGGCTGGACCCTGGGCTGAAGGTTCACCAGGGACAATAGGAGGGCGTGGGATTCTTTGTAGTTGTTTCACACTTCACTCCACTAAGTGGGGAGGGCTTCGGGGGAATGGTAAATGTCTCTATATCCCTACAGACTAATTCGATTTTCCTTCCCTCCTGAAGATTTCTGAATATGCCCAGAAGTGGGGGAGGGGGGGGCGGGGGAGGGAAAGAGTGTAATGCTTCCTTTTGGTTAACCAGTTTTGAAGGAGAGATCAGCGTTACAAGTTTACTCCTGTTTCACTGATACAATGGAAGGATTCTGATAGAAAACACTAGAGACAGAAAGGAAAGGAGGAAACCAGATCACATCTTCCTACTACTTTTAAAATATTTTCTTTTAAAGGAAGGCCATCTAAATTAGGTGGGCTGGGGAGCCTCATGAAACCATTTCCCCCCAGAGTTCCCACCTGTTTTGGTCTTCTGGAAAAGCCAGAACAGGACCAACATGCCAAGGTAAGATTCAGAATCCCAGAAGTTACTCTACTTTGACCACTGCGATGGATGGAAACCTCCTCTGGAGAACCAGAGTTTGCCTGGTCCTGCAGCACATTCTGCACCCATCCAAAGCTCTTGTTCTGAGTACTGATGCTTCCTCCATCAACCTTTCTGGAGATCTGCTGGTTTATGTACATATGCTAATGTATCAGTACCAGGGATTTTTATTTTTCCTATCTCCTTCAACTCATGTTGGGCCACCCCTTGGGTGTGGGCAGCTACTCCAATTTCATTTCAGCCCTACGCTGGGATGGTATGTAAAATTACACTATAAATTGTTCCAATAGTCCCACATGGAGATAGCATTCTGGAGCATGAGGGATCTCAAGTCTGTATTTCATTGTGCTGTGTGTGCTGGTCAGGACAGCGGAATGCATCCATGGAAATGCACCCAACTTGCTGGGTGATTTGGAGCAAGTCACTTCTTTAGTTTATCTATGTTAAAACAGTACCTATCTTTCGTGTGCCAGGGACTGATCAAGTTTTGGGACCCTCTGAGAAATCCAGTATAAAATGCTATGTAAAATCTTTTTATGATAAGAGAAAACACCCCATCTGGCATTAAAATAGCCACTGCAAACAATAACAGCTGAAAGCAATGCAAATGTCAGACCAGTGAGTCAAAAAAATTCTAGAGAAATAATTCTTCCTGGATCACACTTACATCACAATGAATGCCATGCCTTCTAAACACAAGTACAATAATTTGATGCAGGAAACAGCAAGTAGGTAAAGTGCAGAAGGGGCAGAGCAAACCAGCCAGCAGCCCTGCACCAGCCCCACCATCAGCATGCACGGCCAGCTGGCAGATACCTCTCTGGCAGCTGAGATGTGGCAAACAAGGAGAGAGGAGCAGATAAGCAACATATTGCACCAGCCTGAGACTTACGCTTGTATATCCCAAGATCTTGCAGTCATTTCCTACTAACCCCATTGAAATAATAACAGCGTGTTAGGTTTTCAAGTAAAGGCCAGTGGGTGAATTATCATAGCAGAGAAAGAAAGGCTCAACCTTCACCAGAGCACACAAATCACCTGCATTCCCTGGCAGGTGACAATAAATGGTGCCTCCCCTCACAACCTCCCGCCCCGCCATTCTCACTTGTACATGAGCAGAGAAGCAGCAGAAAACATTCCAGACACAGAAACTAAGCCCCTGTGGCCTGTGGGTACCTGGCAGGAAGCAGTGTTCTTGGCAGAGCATTACAGAGAGGCTGCCAGCATTAGTGTTAGCCCCAGCCCAGGCTCAGAGTGCTCGGTCCAGGTGCCCAGAGTGGGCTGAGGCAGGGCTACGATGGGGAGGACGAGGGAGGGGTTTGAGAAATACATACGAAAGACAGACGATCCAGCCAGACTCCCCACCTTCCGCACATCATTATCTAAGGACAGAAGGATGCAGTGTGTTTCAGAGGCAATTCAGAAAGTACACCTGATTATAGGAATTCTCCCTTTTCCATCCCACCCCCAGCACCAATGAACCCTGAAAAAAACAAAACAAAACAAAACAAAACAAAACAAAGCAGACAATTTAGGCCCCAGCAGGGTAGCTCAGTTGGTTGGAGTGTCGTCCTAATATGCCCACATCCCAGGTTTGATCCCCAGTCAGGGCACATACAAAAATCAACCAATGAATGCATAAATAAGTAGAACAACAAATTGATGTTTTCCTCTCTCTCCCTTCCTCTCTATCTCTAAAATCAATAATAATAAAAAAAAAAAACACCCCAAACCAAAACCCTGACAATGTAATGGAAGTGTAAGAAGAAAAATAAAATTGTTTTTTCATACTAAAAATACCACTATTCATCCCTAACACTTGATAACATTACCAGCTACCATGTACTTCCACAAACTCTCTGAATAAAAAATGAGTCTAATTTCCATTTTATGCCGGAGGACACTAAAGCCCAGGAAGTTAAAGGGCTTGTCCATGGTCCCCAACAGGAGTCAAGACTTGATTGAACCGAACTGCTTTTTTCTATGATAGCCCATTGCTTCCCCAACAAGCTATGGCTTGGGAACTGGAATACCTGAACAAGAAGTGGTCATGATGGCTGGGACACCATAGTAGGTGAAGGCTCCATTCTCGAAGCGCAGACCTTCCTTACCAACCTCCACCTCTACTTTTCCCTGGAGAAAGAAGGAAGCGTATTAAAGGTGTGTACACACACTTCTGGTTCTATTATTCACAACAACCCTAAGCTTCCGTCTGGATAACAAGTGACTTAAGATCTTATGAGAAGAAAATGTGAGTTCTATCCAGATTTACGTTTCAGAAATAACACCTCTAACTTTAGTAGCCCTTTGCAGTAAATTAATTACTTAGTTCATAAAGCATCCAGTCATGAATAACCCTAAGCAAGCTCTCCTTGCATAATGTAATGGCCCTTCCATGATGCAGGTCCAGGCACCAGCTGGCCCAGGGCCCTGTGAACTCTCACTGGTTTGGCTGAGAATTAGACCATCCCTAAATCTGGATGAGATAAAATCTGACTTTGTGCAAAGCTTGTTTAAATTCATCACCACTAATGACGGCTTATGTGTAGCATATAGTGTGTCTGTGGGCCTGACACTGCACTTCGTGCACGGCACACAAAAACCTATGAGGCCCATGCTGCCTTCCCTCTCAGTTTACAGATGAACCAACTTGGAGTCTCAGAGAGGTTACATGGCTTGGTCAAGGTCAGTTAGGAAGTGGCAACATTGGAATTTTAAAGCCTGATCTTTCTAATTTCTGGATTTACATTCTTGCCACTATACTTTGCTTCCTCCAACTTTGATTTGAAAACAGTTAAGTTTATATTAAGCATAAGACAGTAGCATGTAGAGGTTCATTATGTTATTCAAAAAATGAGACGGAACACTTCTAGATTTCCAACAGGGAAGAATGTGACTCCATTTTTGGAGAAGGGAGGTCACTTTGAGGCTATTTGGAAAGATGGCTGCGAGGTACACTACTGTGGCAGAGCAGACAGACTGCAGGTGGACAGTGACAAAATAGAGGCCACTTGTAAGTTACTGTGCATTTCAGATTTTAAGACACTGTATTTAGGGTTCATAAGGTTCTACTGGGCAGAGATGGGACAGTGATAGAGGTGATGGTGGAGCCAGCAGCATCCAGTGCTGGAACTAGGCCTGCAACTCATTTTCAGGCCTATCCGGGCATGCAGGGCAGAAAGTGACTACACTTATGTATGAGTGCTGGGCAGTTGCTGCACCTCTTTCTCTCAGTTATTAATTTCCTTCCTGGTTCTCTTAAGGAGAAGGGTCAAGGAACTGCAAAGGCTGAGATGTTTCAGAGAGAATGGATGTGTTCTGCGCACCTCCAGGGAGGAGAGCGAGGACCAGTGGGTGGAAGTCAGAGATGATGAGATTTCAGAGAGACAGAGGGAAAAGCTTGAAATAAGAAGTGTCTGAAGTCTGGGAAAAGGCACAGGACAGTTCCACTTCTGGGCACGTCCAAGCAGAGACAAGAAGGTGTTAGGGATTCTGTAGGACGGCAGCTTTGGCAGTTCAGTCACAAAACCCCTCTGCTGGAGAGGTACCCGCTGCACCCCACCACAAACCTCCCTTAGAGGTCAGACTACATGTCATCAGGATCCCACCCCTCCCAGGACACCAACCAGTCGTACTGGGATCCTTCTGTGGGTCACTGACAAACACTCACCCGACCTGGCCTTGCTCCCAAAGGCAGCCAGCTAAACCCTGGAATCTGGAACTGGGGAGACAAGACCATTCCTCTCCAGCCTAGGGATGCCCTCGTCTTGCCCTCAGAGGGCCTCTACCTTTCCTACTCACCTGGAGAAGCAGCACGAAATAGTCCACGGGGCGGTTGCGCTGGTAGAGGTAGTGTTCTGGAGCTTTCTTGTTCTTCTCATCAAACTTCAGCTCCTGGATCACGTTGGGGTGTTTCAGGAGCCGGAGCAGGATTTTCTCCGAAAGGTACAGAGACTTAAAGGGCTCCACTTCTAGAGGAGAGTAGGAGTCAGGAGGAATTGGCAGCTGGGGAAAGTCACAGTGGGCACAACCAGGGCACATGTCTAGAGCCGACCTCCATCTGTGCTCCAGGCACTCAGCTGGAAGGGCTCCTCCTGTGACTCTCCCGGGGTGGGGGCGGTCTTAAACCCAAGTGTACATCCCCCACTCCCCCTGGGGATGTGTGTCCCTGCACTGGCACCTCAGGAAAAACAGGTCACCATTTTGGAAACGACACCTTTGTAATTAATCTTCTAATTGATTTTATTAAAAGTTGCATATGGATTTAAAAAAAAGAAGGCAATCTTGCCAAGTGTGACAACATGGATGAACCTGGAGGACACTGTGCTAAGTGAAATAGGCCAGACACAGAAGGACAGACATTGCATGATATCGCTTGTATGGTGAATCTAAAATAATCACACTCATAGAAGCAGAGGGTAGAAGGGTGGTTGCTGGAAGTGGGACCTGCGGAGCAGCGAGTCAAAGGATACAACATTTCAGTGTTGCCAGATGCATGAATCCTAGGGATCTACTGCACAGCAGGGTGTCTGTGGTGAATGACACTGTACTGTATACTTAAAATTTTGCTCAGAGGGTAGATCCTCTGTTAATACACAAAAATAATAATAAATAAAGAGGGCGTGAGGAAACTTTTGGAGGCAATGGATATATTTATGGCATAGGTTGTGGTGATGGTTTCACAGGTATATACTTGAATGAAATGAAATTTCAAGCTAACAGAAATGGTGATTATTTAAGTGATGTGTGCTCAATAGTGTGGAGCATCTTTGCATCAAATTGATATATTAACAGATATTATATTACATTATATCACATTCTAATATTATTGTATTAAAAGATATAGCTGCTTTGCTCTAGAAAATCAGTCAGTAGTTAAAAGAAATCCGTATTCAGAACCAGACAGGTTGAAAACTCCAAAGAACTGCAACATAAACTTTTCTACTTTTTCACACTTGGAATAGTACCAGTACTCATTATATACCCAATAATCATACACTGAATTAATTAAATACTGAACTTCGTAATAGGTGTGATCACTCTAGGTCAGCATATTAAATAGGCATGGGTGAGGAGGTCAGAGGGCTTAAGGACAAACTTTACCTTGTTCGCAAGTTTAGCTTTCGATTCTCTCACTTTGTTTTTTCTACAGAGCCCAAGATTCACAATCCACTTCTGTATTTTAGAACTCGTACCTCTCGGGCCTATACAGCCTCTGGAGGGTACTGGGCTCCGGAGCCTTGTTGATGTGTAGGCCAGTGCCTTTCCCTTCCCCACAAATCCTCTGGGCACCCCAACTCCAAGAGGATGGAGGCCGGCCTCTGTCTCCCACCAGCAAGTGAGTGGAAAAAGGAAAAAATGCAGCAGTGGTTTCTTTAACTTCTTCCTCGAGAGGCAAGCAGAGTTGAGTTGTACTCACTCCCTCCCTAGAAGACCAGGCCAGGCTGGAGCTGACAGTATGTGGCACTCTGTCACTCTGCCTAAGGCGATAGCCTCTCCTGGAACAGTGGTTCTCAGTCTCACATTGGAATTAGATCACAAGGTATTACAAATGACTGGTGCCTGCAGATTCGGCTTTACTGCCTGGGGTGGAGACACAGGTGGGCAGAGTCATACCTGTGGCCATGAAGCGGTGCGTGGCCAGCAGAAGCTGTGGGGAGATCTTCACCCTCATCTCTGAGTCGGAAAGCTTAAACAAGGAGAAGTCATGCCGTTTCCTCTCCCGGTGTGGCACCCTCTGCTTTTTCCGATTGTCGGCTACGGATCACAAGGGACAGATTGCAGCTATCTCAGAATCACTGTTGGTTTTTGGAGGCTTTCCCAGAGTTATGTAAGACAGACAGATCCTCTGAGACCACCTGAATTTATGCAAAGTGTCAACTGTAGCTGACATTACAGTACCTCTCCCAGGGAGTGCAAGGATGTTGACAAGGGCCAGAAGGTGGAAGGTGCTATAATCAGCTCAGTGTTGTTTACACTTAGGTGGTGCGAGGTGGAAAGGGGAGAGGCTGACCTCTGACTCCCAAGGTCAGGGTTCTAGAGTGGGCTCCCCTACTACGAGCTGTGTGACTCTCTAAGAATCAGAATGTTTGTTTCTTTTAATTATACAAAAAGGTTAATAATGTGTAATTCTCCTGTCCATCTCGTGCAGTTATTGATGCTGTGAGCCTCCAGCCAGAAACGATCTGTGAAGTACTTACAAAAGGGCATTCAAACCTCAGGGACTCGCATTCTCAGCATCAAGGGGGCTGGCAGGCCAGGGGGTTTCTGCCTCCGCCTTGTTTCTGTCCCTAGAGCAGGACTCACCTGGTCTCTTCCTGCTGATTTTGACCACGCTCTGAGCAGAACTCAAGCATGCCACTCAAGGGAGGTGGGTGGTCACCTCCTCTTCCCCCATTCACAGTTCTCTTGGGTTAACCTTGGCCCCTCACCTCCAGGGGGAGAGAACTGAGGGAAATAAAGGAAAGGAGAGAGGAGAGGACATGGGAACAGCCTATAACCTACAGAGGCATGTTCTCTGGGCAGAACCTGGAGGAACTTCAGAGAGCCTGTGGTCATTGTTCAAGAAATGTGCTTTATCCAATTTTTTTCTCCTTTCTGTTTTTTTAAGTTTTATTTTAAAAATATTTTCCAGGGGAGAAACAGAATGTTTTATTGAGTCATTTGTGTTTTGCTTCCTCTTAGTTTTGAGTAAAAATTGGAAACTTCCATTAGTCTCACCTGTGCTAAGTAAGGGGCGTAGGAAAGGAGGTTTGGGTTTTCTCCCAGCTTGGCCTAGACAAAAACAGGACTGCGGGGAACCTTCAGTGCAGCTGAGCGGATCCCGTGGAAATTAAAGGAAAGAAAGCCCAGAAACAGGGAACCAGGGCTCAGAATCTGGCTCTCTTGGGCTCTCAGCCTCCTTTTGGTGCTCATCTCAGCCTTATCGGCTGGGTCTCCTTCTAGAAGGAGACATGCCCTCCCACTGTACTGCTCTCTGTGGACCTGCCTTGGACTCTGAGTCCTTCTTTAACACTCCTTTTTCTCGGGTTGCAACAGTGGCGAGATCCAGACCCAGCTTTCCTGTGGGTCAGGGTCAAGTGAGAAGCAACACAGTACTCCTGGCTCCTCAGACTTCTCAGAGCTCTTAGGAAGCGTGCCAGAAGCTTATTTACAAGGGCAGGAAAACCCTAACCCTCTCTTTTAGAAAGAGAATCAATTGCTCAGCAAGGAAGTAGCAAGTATTTGTGTAGGGTAGTCTTTTTAAAAAATCTCCTGAGGATATGTTTATTGATTTTAAAGAGAGGAAGGGGGAGAAAGAGAGAGATAGGAAAAGACAGAGAGAGAGAGAGAGCAAGAAACATTGATGTGAGACAGAAACATTGACTGGCTGCCTCCCATATGTGCCCTGACTGGGGACTGAACCCGCAACCTTGTGTTGTACGAGATGACGCCCTAAACAACTGAGCCACCCGGCCAAGGGCTAGGCTGGTTCTTTTGCTCTCATTAGTGAGCAACCTTCTGATTTGCACGATATGTTTGCCTAATCATTCCTCTCCCTCCTCCATCAGGATGCCACTAAACATTTCATCACAGAGAATCACTTCTCTGACCTCCTTCTTCATTCCTTTTATTTTAATAGTGATTATTTAGAACATTAAGGTTGCTAAAACAAATGCCTTAAGAGGTTACTCATTTACACTACTATCCCTACTATCAGCCACTAACATTGTATTGTGAATATCTTCACTAATATACTTAGGGAGACACTTGCAATTCTAAATCAAGAGTGAGGGGCAGAGGGGGAGAAGGGAGAAGGGAATGGGGGAGGAAGAGGTCAATCTCTTTTTGAGGAGGATAGGCCTGGCACCACAGCAATACCAGGTACCGTGACACACCTGGCATGTTCTGTCAGGACTGGGCCACCTTTTAGGTTAGAGCTCTTCTTAGGGCAAAGGGAAAGCATTCTTTCTGCTCACTGCCTTACAGTATCAAAGCTTTTTCTACTGGGAGCTAGTTTTTGAATGGCTGCTTCTACATAAGGACAGGGGTCTGGAATGGGTTACCACTGGGTTACCGGTGGGGAGAAGGGATCGCTGGACCATGAGGTGAAATTCAGAGGAAATACTTCCTGGTCCTAAGAATTCCCATGGATTTATTTATTTATTTTTAAGATTTTATTTATTTTTAGAGAGAGGGAAGAGAGGGAGAAAGAGAGGGAGAGAACATCAATGTGTGGTTGACTCTCACGTGGCCTCCACCGGGGACCTGGCCTGCAATCCAGGCATGTGCCCTGACTGGGAATCGAATCAGTTACCCTGTGGTTCACAGCCCACGCTCAATCCAAGGAGCTACACCAGCCAGGGCAGGACTCCCATGGATTTAGATAACACTCCCATCCTACAGACAAAGCGCTGTCTGCCCTCTGTAACATTTGCAACCAAAGCTTTGATAAGGCTCAGTAACTAAAAGCAGTCATTATCTGCGTAGAGGAGTCCATTCGGTTCCTGAGGAGTAGTGGGTAGGAGGGTGAGGAGACAAGAAAGAAGGGAAAAGGGACAGAAGCAGGGACAGGAGCGAGGGGTGGGAAGGGAGAAGAAGGGGAAACCAAGTGTTAGGGCTGAAAAAGCATAAGGGAGAAGAGCAGTGTGTAAGAAGGGACATTCAAGGTGTGGCTTAGGTTGCGGTGTAGTCTCAGGACAGTCTGCACTGCACGTGATGTTTTGGTGTGAGGAGGCCGTTGAGTGGAACCCCAGGGCATGCTGGGGTCTGCATAGGTGGACAGAGACAAAACAGGAACAACACAGGGGACAGAAACAAGGACAGAGCAGCCGTCCAAGGTGTATTTTGCTTCCTTTAGTTCTTTTTTCATCCAAAGGCCAGGAGGTCTTCTTTTCATAGTCTTGGTTCCTAAAGGTTCCCTGCTGATAAACATTTACCATATTTTGCCTGGTATAGTGCACTCCCGTGTATAATGTGCACCTGTGGTTTTGTGCGCATTATACATGGGATAACATCCATTATTATATCCATGGTATGTAATCATTATACCCACATATAATGCGCATCCTTATTTTTCCCTCAAAAATTCAGGCAAAAGAGTGAGCATTACACATGGCAAAATATAGTAGCTAGCACAGAGATTTTCAAGCGGTGTGCCACAAGAATTTTTAAAACATGCAATACTTGACTATTTAGTCAGAGGCACTGACTTCTTTCCCTTTAGATTGTTAAATTAAAAAATGACAAGAGCCAATGCAACAATAGCCATCCGATGTAAATGAACTGAAATTATAGCTATTTTTTTTGTCAAATCAGCAACAAAATATATTTTTTGGTGTGCCGCAGAATTTTAGTAATTACTTTAGTAATGAGTGTGCCATGAGATGAAGAAGGTTGAAAATCACTGACCTAGCATTTTTTCAGGGACTCGGGTAATTCAAGCCATGGCACCACGTCAGGCCAGCACCTGGCATTAGGGAGTTGACACATGGCAATGCATGGGCTTGGCATGACCCTCTTTCTCACTATGTTTCAAGCTAAGCCAGCTCTGAGCACCACAGAGGAAAACTAGATGACCTTGGACAATAGCCAAGGCCATGCACTTACTATAGAGGTCAGTTTCATCCAGGATCTCTGACTTGATGATCTCCTCTATGATGTCCTCCAGTGTAACAATGCCCATCACCTCGTAGAAGGGGTCCCCTTCTCCCTCATTATTCACCCGCTGGACAATGGCCAAGTGAGATTTTCCTAGAGAACAAATGAAGTCACAGTTAAGCATCTGGGATGTTTTCAAAGACCCTTCCTAGGAGAAAATTATACAAAGTTGCTTTCTGACTAATCTCAGGACTGAACCTATCCTTGGACCTCCTTAAAATATGACGTCTGTGTGCCAGCTTATATAAATGCAAACCTTATATTTTCACATCTCTCTTTGTTTTCTGGAAAGTTACCTAATATACAAGGTTGACAAAAGTAGTTTTACAGTTATCTGTATGGAAAAGGGCATGGAAGTTATGATTACTACAATTGCTTTATTAATTCTGTGTTTCATGCACTCACAACTATAAACCTACTTTTGCCTACCCTGTATACAAAGTCAGTTAAATTTTTTTTAACTTTCACATATTAGCAAGTACAGTTGAACCTTGGACAATGTAGGGGTCAGGGGCACTGACCCCTGCGCAGTTGAAAATCTGCGCAGTATAACTTCTGACTCTACAGTCAGCCCTTTGCAACCATGGATTCAACCAACAGCGAATTGAAATAGTATTGGGAATGCAAAAATACTGTTTTTGAGTGGCAGGTGGTTGAATCCGCAGATACGAAAACCATGGGTATGAAGAGCCAACTGCATTTATTGAAAAAAATCCGCATTTAAGTGGACTCATGAAGTTCAAGCCAGTGCTGTTCAGTGGTCAACTGTATATCTAAGCTGAATGAGAATGAATAGCCTAATTAAAGACCAAAAACCTTGAGTCAGAAGAATTAGGTTAGAAGCCTTTTCCTCCTCCAAACTTTCACCACCCCCACCGCCTTAACCATCTCAATTACCCGTGCAACCAACCCTTGTCGAATCATTTGACCTCTGTTAGTCTCAATCTTCTCATCTAGAGTCAGGGGAAAATACCAGTATGGTGACTTTAAAACATTCCCCCAAATTCTTCGATAGGCTTCCCACAGACAGGTGTGGTCTCTGTTTCCTTCCCTTGAGTCGGGGCAAGTTGGGACTACTTTAACAATAGAGAACAGGAAGTGTCTGCTATGAGACTTCGAAGGCTAGGCCACCATGATGGAGAAGCCACATGCAGGTGCTACATAACAGTCCCAGCTAAGCCCAGCCTTCCAGCCATCCCATCGAAGTGCCAGCCAGGTTAGCAAAGAAGCCACCTTGGCAGTGAATCTGCAATCTCAGTTGATACAGCTCTATCCTCTAAAGTTCTCCAAACCCATTCGAGTTGTCTCCAGCTGCTGGCACAGACGTTGCAAGGCAGGATAAGCAATTCCTACTGTACCTGTCCAAATTCCTGATTCACAGAATCTGTGAGCATAATAAAATGGTACTTAGAAGGTGACTCTGGAGCTCCAATGGCCTAGGGGATGTGTGAAAGCACTTTGTAATGTGTCACAGGCAGTTCATTATTATTGCCCCACAACTGAATAATAATAATTAACACTTCTTGAGCTCCAACTATGAGCCAGGCACTATTCAGAGCACTTCACATGTACTGATTCATTTAATCCTCATTAACACCCCCAAGTTGAGTACAATGATAACCCCCATTTTACAGATGAAAGAGCTGAGGCACAGAATGGATCAGTAAAATGCCTGAAGTTACACAGCCACTCAGAAATGGCAGAGCTGGATTGTAAACCCAGGTAACTGGGTTCTGTCCTAACCAAGGCCCCCAGTTTCATGTAACAGTCCTGCTTCCTCTTGGTTTGTTTTCATCTTCTGATAAACACATTTCCTGGTCCTGTTTCTAAAATGAAAATCTGGGTGGTTTTTTCCCTTGTCTGAGAAACACTTAAGGAGAACGTCTAGGATGTTATTCTTGAAAAAAAAAAAGAAATTCATGCTTTATCAGTGTTATTTTTTTATAAGTTTTGCTTGGTCATTGCAATTTAAATACATTAACTTCAAAAACTTCTAATCACAAGAAAGCTACCTGTTGGGGTTTTTATTGAAAAGATGGTATTTTTAATCACTCAATAATGGTCTGTAATTTCTTCTTCACCTTCAACCTATCCTTCAACTTACTCCCAAACTGATCTGATCATGCCACTGCCCTACTCAAAGACCCTCGATGGCTTCCTAGTGTGCACGGAATCAAAGCCAAACTCATGAGTTTGGTATTATCAAGATTGCAAAATGTGGATCTTCCCTATCCTTCTAACTGCATGCCCTCATCATTCCCTAATCATTCCACCTTCCAGGTTACCTCCTCTTCCTCGACTTCCTGCATGTCCACTTTCTAAGTCTTCACTCACGCAGTTTTGTTCTCTCATTGATTGCATCTGCACTGGCCCTTCAAGTTCCAGCTCACGTGCCAGTTCCTCAAGAGGGCTCTCCCGGATCTTCCCCATTCTGAATCTGAACCAACCTCTCCTGGCCGGGGTTTCTAAGCCCTTGATAACTCCATTAAGGTAGTTGTCATACAGTTTGCTGTTTCTTATAACTGGCAACACGTGTATCCTCTACTGGACCATGCTTTTCCTTCAGATCATAAGCTCCTTCAGGACACAGACTTGCACAGGGCACCTTCCATGTACCAGGCAGCCAGCAAGTGCCCAATGAACTGAACTAAAGCAGAATAAAATCCATACTGAATGTAATATTTGACATTAAAACCAGACACTAAAACCTTTACTTTTTAATAAAGCACAATGTGTTTAAGTTAATTAAAGTTTAAGCTCTGTCTCAGTGATTCTAACATTCCTTCTCTGAAACAACTGCATCCTATCCAACTGAACTGGAGAATTTTGTGGCTTAGTATAGATTATGTTGATTATTAGAATGTGCTCAATTTAAAGTTTCCCCCCCAGCACAGCATTCTAACATTTATGGCTCCTGTGCACATTCTTCTAACACGTGCCAGCAGATGGCAAAACAAACGCTACTATAATGAAAAAAACTTGAAAAAGTGATTTCTTAAAATCATTTCCTATAATTGGATAATTTTTATAATGTGGAGCCCAGGATATATGTAATACAGCATACTTCCTGCCATTAAGAAATTAGTTCATATGAATTAACATTTTATGATGTTTCACACAAAGTACCATAATGTTCATGTGGAAGTCTACCATTGGGCTATCTTTATAAGGTCAATTTGAGGACACAACTATGCGATCACCAAGGAATAGAGATTTTAAGTCCTAATTATATAACATTAAGGCAGTGTACTTATGTAATCTAGTTACAAACATTCTAAAATCCACGGTCAGCCTTTATGACTCCCTCGAGTGCCTGCAGAGATCTACAAACCAATGAAGAAGTCACTCTCTCTGGGGTAAGGCTGGAACAGGAATTAGCAACCACATAGCCCTGTTGGGAGCCGACACTCACAGGGACAAGAAAACCGGATTTTCCCATTACACGCATATCTGAGGTTCTTCCTCTCTCAGAAAGGCTGGCCTTTGGGAGACTTATCTCCCTGTATTCCTCCTCTTCCTGGGCCCCAGAAAGGGTTGGGATGGCCCCAAGTGAATACCATCTTGAGACATGAAAAAGTTAGTCACCAGCTCTTGCCACAGCACTTTGAACATACCTCTCCACTGGCATTTCTAATACGTGCACTGATAGGCATCATGATTATTGCAGCAGCCACCACTTGCTATACACACTCTAGGGACCAGGCACAGTGTTAAGCATCACACACACATTATTTCACCATGTTGTTGTTCTCTGTTTGTATGTGATCCCCCAAGATGATGGTAAGCTCTCTGAGAGGCAGCAGCTATGTTCTACTTACCTCTGTTTCCCCAGAATCTGGAATAGCACCTGGCATAGAGTAAGAACCCCATAAACAATGGGTGAAAACTGGTTATCTACATGAAAAAGGGTAAGGTAGGGTATCTACCTCACACCATATACAAACATTAATTTTGAATGGACCACATGCCTAAATGTGAGAGTGAAAACTATAAAACTCTTAGAGAAAAATACAGGAGTAAGTCTTTGTGATCTTAGAGTAGCAAATGATTTTTTAGATAAGACATCAAAAGCACAAGCAACCAAAAGGAAACACACACACACACACACACACACACACACACACGTAACAAGAGCATCAAAATTGAAAAGGGACACCATCAAAAGAGAGCGAAAGACAGCTAAATATTTGCAATCATATATCTGATAGGAAGCTTGTATCCAGAATAAAGAAAACTTACAACTCATAAAAACACAACTCAATCAACAAGTGGGTAAAGGAATAAACGGACACTTATCCAAGATATACCACCGGCTGATAAGCAATAAATGTTGATGAGGATGTGGCTTAAATTCTCGCTATTCCCCTCTTTTGCCTTCTGGGAGGTCCTGGAAATGGGGACTGTGGTCTTTCTCACTGAACCGTCCCGCTACAGACTAGCAGGATTTTTCAAGTGCCTTCTCACACCTACCGGTCCATTAATTTCAGTTTCCTTCCAACTTACTAGAAAAGCAGGATGTCTATGAGTTAATTTAGGCTAATTAATGGTGAGGACTGTTACCATTTATACTGAACTTCACAATTTGTCAAGCATCCCCAGGACTGAGTTAGAAATGCAAATTTTCAGGCTCCACCTACACCTAGTAAATGAGAATCTCAGGGAGTTCTGCCCAGTGAGCTGCAGTTTAATAAGCTTTATAGCTGGCTGCGATGCAGGCTAACGTTTGAAAATCACTGGTTTACTGGTAGACTCTGTAGCACTCTGGTTATTTGTCTGATCTGTGACCTATTAACAAGGAAGAGAAACAAGCACTGAGATGTCTAGTTAAATCCTGGTCCCTTTGGTAAACTTGGTTTAAGTCACAAGATGCTAAGTACTCATGAAAAGAGAAGAACATCCTGGAACAAAAAGTTGCAGTGTCAAGCTGATGAATGCTCTCTCTCATATGATGTGGTGGTGAAGGTATTTTGTTGACATGGGGAGGAGAGTGGGTGTTGATGTTTAACACTGAGCTTGGAAAGGGGTTTTTCTTGTAGTTTTTGTACCTCTGAGATAAGTTTAAGGTTCTACACTGTCTATTAGGCACTTGGTAT